GTCTGCCCCTGTTGGTCTGAGCCAAATTGCACATGGCCATCAGACAAAATTGCATCAATCACCCCTTGATGCCTGGCCTCAGACGCCCATGTGGTTTCCCATGTAATTGCCATCTCATGCTCATGCACAGGGTTACCCGCACTTCCTTCTTTTTGCTGCCGTTTCCTCAATCTGTTTTGCAAAATCCGTGACCTGCTCTGCAGTGGCTTGTACACCGACTTTGGCCAGGATCGTCATCAGCTTTTCAGGTGCTAACGTGAAAGTTTCCTCTTCAGCAGCAGCTTCTGTCTTCTCCTTCTCAATCTGCTGGTTGTACAGGGTAGTTGTATCCTGCAGTTCTTTCTGAGCCGTCTCTAGCCTTGCCTGCATCTCCTTCAGCTCTTGCAGCAATGCTGTGTATTGAGCTTTGACTGAATCCGCTTTGTGCTGCAAAGAAGCCTTCTTTTCGGCCAGTTGCTTCAGCTGCCCAACAGATTGCTTGAGCTTAGTTGCCAAGGTGGGTTCAGGTTTGTCAGGCTCCACCAGTTTGCCAACTGCCTGCTTGAGGTCACTCGGCAAGCTCTCCAAATGCTCCTTGATCAAAGTCGGCAAGTCAGGTGGTGCTGGTGGTGCCTCAGCCTGCATTCCAATGGCCTCACATTGGGTCTTCAGGGCACTGGGTAGTGACTCCCAGTGCTCTTGCACCGCTTTCTGTAAGGCACTGATCTTGACCTTCTTGCCGGTGGCCACCCGCTAGCCCTGGTGGCGGCTCCAAAAGAGCTTGTTTGTATGTCCGGACAGGCCATTTGTGACCCCCTTGGGTGAAATTCCACTGAGCCCATTGTGTCTGTCGTCTGCCAGCCTTGAGGTCTTGTAGGCCCTGTCCCTGCCAGGCCGCCCCACATTGCCTGCATGTCAGGGTGTGATCGCGGACCAGCCTATCCTGCCAAATCCAGCTGCGGTTGCAATGCCTACAGACCATGTATGGTCTCTGCATCCTCGTTCTGGTAGGTGTCCTTGTCCTCGAGATAGGGATCACCTCCAAGTTGCCACCTCGTAGATGGCCGCGACCGGTCGCCGCGTGAGCCGGTGTTGTATGGGCCCGGCTTGAGGCTGAGATGGCTTGAGCCAATGAGATATTACATATATATATATATGTACATATATATATATATCTATAAGTCTTCACTCATATACAACCGTTTCCAATACATCAGGTGATATCCCGATCATTCCCGATCCCCCCTCGATGGCGATCCCAGCTGCGGCGGTGTCGCCGGTGATCTCGTTGAGACCTGCGAGCTCCGGTGGACCCGAAGGAGGTCCGATGGTCCCGGGTGTTGGGCCCAGCAGCTGAAGAAGCGCAAGAGGGTGCAGCAGCTGAGTCATTCTTGCCATGGTAAGAGGATCAAAAAACTGGATCTAAAAGAAACTCCCAGGGGATCAAACAAAATTGTTTTTGAGATCAACAAACAATAATTCGTAAGCCAGGGTTGAAAAAGAGTGCAACGGCCTAAAGCCTGTCGCAGGTCTTTCGCACAGAAACACCGCCACCAGCAGCATGCAAAGCCGGCGGTTCACAGAAAGACAATGCGGTCTGGTAGAACCAGCAGCACGCACCAAAAGCTACCAAAAGAACCTATTGCTTTTGCTCCTGTCGCAAATCTTTACACAGGTCATGATCGCAGTAAGGTGTAATTGCGTTCTCCAGCCACCAAAGCATGGAGTAGGTGTTCCGCATGAAAGCAGGTCGGAGTCATGATCACAGTTTCTGCATGCACGGAGAGAAAAATCTGTCTAGGTTTTGCTGCGTGTTGTGTGCGTGTTCGTCTCGCCCATCTACAGCCCACCATAACTGCAGTAAGCTGCTCCATTCTCCAGCCACCGAACCGGTTCCACCTGAATATTTGATTTCTTGGTTTTCGTGGCACGGCAGGGGGTTGCGGGGGAGGCCGCAGTGCTCTAACCCCAGCAGCGAACAACACCTATCGCTGCAAAACAAAAAAGGTAACACTGCCAGGAAGTGCAAGAGAACATGTTTTGAAGAACCCGCTTCTGGGTTAGCAAGGTGTGTTGTATGTGGGTTAGAAAAGAATTCTCATAGGTTAATTGCAGGTCCTTTGGCTCAAAAAGCGAGGCCCTAGGATTGAACAAAGTTTGTTCTTAGAATTGACCCATGGGTTGTTTTGTAGAGTGTTTTAACACACTACTGTAATACACTTTTGCAATCCAGGGTGAATTTTTTCCTTTCTTCCTTCCTTCCTTCCGACTTTTCATCGATCCTGATAGTAACTTTTTTGATCCCGGTAATAAGTTGTTTTTGTTTTTGATAAACCATTATATCAAAACATACCCACGCCTCTTCCCATTGGTCACGCCAGTAGCCTATAACTACGTGCAAACAAAGCACAAACAAAGCATGCACGATTTTTGCCTATCAGTTGAATTCAATTGCTCTCAGCTGATGGAGTTGAGCCACTATCATGAACGCAGATGTTGACTCACGGATGTTCCACGAATCTGAGAGGTTGGGTTGACCAGGGTCCAAAAAACGTTCTCGCCAAGGACCACGTGCAGCTGCAAGGATGAAGCAGCATCCTCTTGTACTAGAACCAGGTGCATCGCTACTAGTAACAAGAAGCTACTAGGTTGGAGGCCAGCGCTAGTAGGTTGGAGGATGTTGGAGGCCATTGCTAGTAGGTTGGAGGCCATTATACTACCAGTAACAAGAAGCTACTAGTACCAGACCGACCGGTGCCAAACGGCCCCGAATTCCTTCCCGCACGTCCGCTGTTGGTCTACCGCGAGTCTCAATGAACAAACCCATAAATCCCCTTTGGCAGGGAAGCAGTGACAATGATTAACGTTCCTTGACCTTGTTAGCAACGTCAGCTGTCGAACCTCAGTCGTTTTGGAAGACCACCACCAAAAACCTCACGGTTCCAAGCTTAATCACCTCACTTGTGTTGGGGAAAAAACCCAGTCACAGTCCGTTCCTCGCATTCGTCGCCCTCTCTCGCCGCGCCACGTGTGTTCCGCCTGGAGGACGACGCGTGGCGCCGCCGCGACCTCCGTCGTGACCTGAGAGCCGACGAGAGCAAGCTCGGGGTCTGTAGATCTTGGTTGCCAAGGCAAGGAACAAAAGCGAGCATCGAACTGGATATGATCACGAATCTTGGGAAGTTGCTTTTTCACCAAGGCATAGTATCAGAAATATGCATGCGTTATACTTCCTTTCTACTAAACTTAGTGATGGCTTATTGGTGAGAAGGGTCTGTAGCTGTGCCAAAGTTCTGGGTTTTGTCAAGGGCAAAGCCTCGCTCGACGTATAGGTTCTTGGTATGGACATGCTCGAGCTCCGCACGGAAACTCTGCAAAGGAAATAGACTCCCTTGTGTCAGATTTATAGAGGTACTATAGCAATAAGTGTAGAACCTTTGATAATCTTTGATATCTTTATCTCCGATGCTTCTTTTGCACGGACTCAGCAGCAGAGTCGCGTGACCGGCTGTTCGGTCACGAAGCGCAAAACGGACGGGCCAAGTCAGCCCTACGCACCGGCCGAGAGCGCGTCCAAGCACGAACCAAAGCTCGACCATCGGCTCTAGCTTGGAGGGTGCAAGGGGCACAAGGAGCGCAGGTGACGGTGTGTGCACCCCAATTTCAAGATCTCTTGAGGGAAGATCAACAAAAGCAACACCTTTGAATACCTTTGATATCTTTAAATGCTAAAACGATGCATCCTGACTTAACATCATCTAACAGCAAGGTATTGGCAAAGCTCAAATTGAATTCGACACAACATCATCCGCTACCCACTGGCTGGGTGTGGGACCTGCTGCTGCGGCTTCGATGCAGTCTATCTCTGCTTCTGCTCCCTGAGTTGAGTCTACTTTGGTAGACTCCTTTGCTTCGGAACAAAGGTGGTTGAAGTGCCGTGTGACATGTTTCGAAGCAAAGGATAAACCACATGTTTCGCCTCTTAAGATTCACTCGTCTGGAAACCGAAGCAACATCTCTGAGAATGGAAGACCAAACCCTGTCGGGGTGGAATTTGCAAGCGGTCTTCAGCTTCAAAGGTATATAAATGATCAAGGGACATGGACATGGGAAATGAGAATCAGTCTGCATCAGCGAAGAATGCTTCTTGCAAACAAGCCAACCAGTAGCTAGTAGCTCGTAGCTGCCACAAGAAAGCAAACGAAAAGGACAGTGCTTTTGCTTCATCTCTGCAGGTACTTGCTTGTGTCTTTTCGACATCGGTCCTGGCCCTTTTCGATCAAGTGTCCAAACAAACAAGCTCTTGAAATCGGATGTTGAGACGTGTTGAGATGTGTTGAGACGTGCCTTGGTTGCTTCTTTTTTCTCCTCCGCCTTCGCGTGGCGCCATCGGTGTGGTTCCGATCTACGGACCCCAAACGGGGCAGCTGAGGCACGGACGGCAACTGGTCACGTCCATGTCGCATTGAGGGGGTGACCTCAAGATGGCAACTGGGTCACAAGAGCAAAGTCACCGAATCAGCGAAAGGACCCCATTCGGCTCATGTGTCAAAAATCGAAAGGACAGTCTCACCTTTACATCCAACCGGAGTAGAGTGTAGATGCTGACAGTTTCATACTCGTTTCATACTCCGGTCGTAGGAAAGGACAGAAATGACTCCAACAAGAGTCGTAGACCTCGGCTATTACACTACAATCCTCGTTCTCACGCTCGTTGCCCACGTGCGGCCGACTTTCAACAAAACCACACATTTCTAGGCAAACAAGCCACAAGACGCGGGACGAATGGGACTGAGCGATTGTGTCGCTGGAGCCCGAAAGGTCACAAAGCCATGCACTCTGCCGGCTGGACGCGGTCAAATATCTGGTTTCTTATTTTCTTCAGGCTTTGAAGAACTAGTGGAGTCCTTTTTGGTAAAGTCTTGCTGGTTGAGTGAGACGCCTTTCCACTATGTTGCCGAACGAATGCAGTTTTTTTGCACACTAGCCATGCCATTCTAGCTGTGGGGTGTGGTTGTGAGAACAAATCCAATCCTTTGTTTTGCAAGAAGCCTGATGCATTTTCGAGGGATGAACCTCCCGCAAACTTTTATCCACACAAATCCACACACTGCTGCAGCATCATGGTTCTGGGAGACGTGGATCCTTCCACCAAAAGGATCTCTTCCTTGAAACGCTGCACATGAAAGGAACCACATTTTGTACGTTGTTTTTGTGTAAACGACACACATAGTTCTCTGACTCTATTCTATTCACAAAGCCTTCCGTTCTCTCTTACTCTCCCTTACACGCAAAAGCACTCGATGCGAGCCGTGTGCAAATAGAAATGGATACCTGTTCATCTTCTTTTCGATTTATTCTTGGGGAAAAGGGTACGTGCCAGCTTCTCCTCCAAGCCTCCAGTGCCGCTTTCGCCAGTTTCGATGCCATCTCCAAGTCTGCCAGCTCAGCCGCCAGCTCAAAGCCCGCCTGTGATGGTGTTGTGTTTGACAGGCATGCGTGTGCTTTTCTCGTGCGGCTTCGAGTGAACTGAGATCTGGAGCAAGAACTGAGAACTAGAAACGGCCAATTCCTAAACAGCAAAGCACCCAATTCCGAGTCTCAGCATCAGTAGCGTCCAAAACATGAAAAACAATTGAAATTCAATGTAATGGTGTTTAGATGCGTTTAGGATGCTCTATCTTCATGGTATAGCCAATGTGTGGCCAACGCTCAGAATCAAAAAACTTATCATGGGGCGGGACGGAAACGGTTCTCTATGAAAGCACTATGATCCGCTGATGTTTGTGAGACAAAATGCTTTAGAATCGTGTCTTCATCCGTCTGAAATCATACTCAAGACCGCACCAAGGTGCAGAGTAAACCCGGCACTTCAAGGCAGGATTCTTCCGGAAGTCCGCATCGATGAGCCCTATAGCTTGCTCAACCAGCTGAAGCAAAGCAGCACGTTCTGAAGGGCGCACTGTCGTGTCACTTTCCTCGAGCTGCCTTCAGGGGGATCTTTGATGCTCTTTGGACAGCCAATGGTGGAATGACTTGGAATGCCGAGGTCGAGTTTCAACCCCTCCCAACTCCTCCACCCCGCCCCACAAATGGCGGGTGCCCTCGGCTCGATGCTCTCTCCCTCTCGAGGCGTGAATGAATAGACTCGTCTCCAAGGGCTCGAGACATGAGACCGGCAAACAAGGCTCTGCCGAGACTGGCATTCTTGGGCGTCTCCCTTTCTCAAATGTAACATGAAACCTTTCGAAATTCGTTCTCTGGCATGCCTCAAAAACATTCAAAAACGCATTCTTCTAGAGAGTAAATTGTTTTCTTGTACAAACTGTCCAATCACTTTGAGGCACCAACAAGTACACGCAGCTGTCTAGTCCCCATATCATACATTAGAAAACGGGATGAAAAAGAAAGCAACTTCTGCTGCCCAGCCTGGTCAAGCTCTGCAATTCCTTTCGACGCTGGTCACTCCGCACGGCATCTTCTCCAGTCAAGCTGCAGGCTTCGCAGTTACATCGAAACTTCAAGCGTTGCAAAAGCTGGCGCCGCTCCTGGCTTGAACGATACAAATCCTTCGGCTTTAAATAGGAGGTACAAAGCTCTTGGCCCTCGAAGATATCGCGGGATGCATAGAGTGTTTCGGATTGTGTCTCGATGTCCCAGCTATTGTGAACATTCGGCACGCAGCTATGATTGAAGCGTGCGATTGAATTGAACACACCAAAACATTCGTGGCCAGAAGCATCTTCCACAGGATAGCTGTTGGTCAGCACTCGGCTTTTGGCTGATCGCTTGTCACCAAAAATCTCGGCATCAAAGAGCTTCCAGAAGAAGTCTTGCTTTTGCTGTGGCAAGGCCTTTACCATCTCTTCGACATCACGATCTGTGAGACGATCCAAGTCTTTGCATGGAATGGCCAGCATGGGCTGATCCTCAAGTATCATTTCACCTTGACTGATATTTCTCATGGCCACAACCCCAAGCCCTTTGCCTTCGATGGGCTGAACCTCAAAGCTGCTGCGCAATTTTAGCCGATGGATCCGGCGGGTCGCACCGAACAGGGCAGCTGTGAGACACCGAACAGGGGTTCTGCGAGCACCCCAGGGCTCGCTCTGGATCCGTCCCGTCTCTTCCATCGCCGGACGTCGCCGTAAAGTCCACGCGGAGACGCTGCGGCTGCGCGTGGCCGGTGCGGGCAGCACTTCCCTCACCGTGGTGGCCATGGCTCCTACTTGGCAGTTGTAAGTAGCTAAGCGCTCCTGTGGGTGAGGAATGAGAAAGTGTCTGTTCATTGTGATACAATGAGGAACACATGCAGTGGATGTGAGTCACAGAACCACAAGGCGTGACTTCTGCCGAAAGAGTGGCGACGCAATGCTACCATGGAGCGCTACAGTGGAGTTGAGTGAAAGGATCGTGTGCTAATTTGACACTTGGACCCAGTTATATAGATGTCCTGCACCTCCGTCTTGACCAATCTGATCCAAGCTGAAGATCTGTTTCACAGCATGACAACTCCCTCTGAACATTATGAGATAGTGTAAGTTCGAAGTTGCTTTCTACATTAGTTGTTTCTCCAGGTACCTCCAGGTTGTATTCATTCAAAGCTAGGCCCTCCCCCATCGTTTTCCAGCGGTTAGCAAATGGACACTGTCGGTATCTGTAGGTAATGCTTTTGCAGGGTTTTGCAGGGTTGTCACACGAACATCCAAGGATATACTGGATAAGTCCAATTGGGGTATACTTTTTTGACCTCCCGTATGGTTTCCAAGGAACACTCAAATCACAGTCTTGGATGAAACGCCTTTGTATAAAGCAAATGATGGTATTGTACCAACACCAATTCATATACAAAGAGTCTAACCTTGGCAAAGGAACCTGATTTGCTGTGCTTTTTGCATCTACCCGAAGTGTCTATGACGATTGAATGACATGAATAAGATTGAATAAGCAAACAAAAAAAGCGATGACTCGATCTTTGCTTTCCAATTCTCGATTGACGTTCGTCGACTGTCCGCAGCCAACGGCCACGGCAAAACCACCCGGTTTCTTACACCGAACGTAGAATAAACAACTGCATGTCAGTCTCGCGCCCCAAGTCCGGTCTTGGGCTCCCTCTTTTACTTTTCACAATGCACAAGTGCAAGCAGAACACCACACCCATCGTTGCTGATCAGCACCCCTTTTTGGGCCTCGCAGTGGCGCCGCAGAAGCCCCCGTCTCCTTTCTCCGCTGGCCCATGATGGGCCTCGCGCTTACGGATCCGTCTTACCTCGGCGGAAGCACGAGGGACGCACTGAATTGTTTCCAGTATCATGGCTCACCCTTGCACTGTCATCATAGTGGAATAGTGCTGATGGCATGTTCTGCAAATCCCCACCAGAAAGGACCTCTATCAAAGCACCTATATAGAATGCGGTGCACATCCGTTCTCACCGGCAACAGCTGGGCTTCCCGGCTTGTCGCGAGTCCGTCAAGTCTAGGCTGCCTGGGGTTCCGAGGAAAGTCGTCGCCGAACGGGGAGACGGCCGTGGCGGCCGTTGGCAGGAACGGGGCAGAATCTGGGAGATCTTCAGCCGCTATTTGCTGCCCCATAATCGGTGAAGTGGAGATCGCGATGCATCGATTGCTAGTGTATCTGTTGCATTTTGGGTGGAAGATGTTGAAACTATAGCAGCTCAAGCTGAATGCCAGGGCTATGGCCCTCTGGGCAGTGTGGGCACACAATACTCTAAACCAATATTGACAAACTGCAGGTCCAAAGAGAAGCTCTTCCGCAACAGCGTAGTCCAAGATCACCCAGTGTCTCCCAGTGTCTCTCCCTGCAGCATCGCTACTTGGTTGATTCGAAGCCCACTCCACCGAAGCGTTTTCGGACCGAACACAGCACAAGATGTAGCGTGCGTCGTTCCTAGTAGCGTCCTTGCTACCAGTAGCGATGCCCTTTGCTCCTCGATATAGACATCATTGCAACATCATGTGTCCCTTTGGATCACGCTTGGCTTGCTGTTGGTTCATGCGCATGGCTCCTTCTGTGCACAGTGCGCCATCATGCGCCATCAGTGCGCATCCTTCAGAGACTCAGTGGGTCATCCGGACGGAGTCCGAAGCAGTCACCGAGGACTCCATACCCCCCAAACAAACACTCCTCCAAGTCCTGAGGCGACCGAAGTCAATTTGAAGTCAATTATATACTTATACCATGCATTCGCCGGTCTCTCAGCCCGCAAATATTTCGTGAAGAAAGCGGAAAGCGCTGCAAAGCACGCTTCGAGCTTTTCAAGATTTGGGGAGTGGTCTTCATCATTTCAACTGGATGCTATGCTCAAGGTATTCCATAACAATCTGGGTATAGCTTGAGAATATTAATCCCTCTCAACCCCCATGTTGTTTCATTGTCAAGCACGACTTCGAAGGAGTCCCCCAAGAACCTCTTCCTGTGGTCCCATCAATTCGTATTTTTGGTCATTCCTCAATTGGGGATCATGGATGATCATGGCCTTGGTCTTGATCGGGGTGTGCCTCGGTCTTCTTCTCCGCCAGGAACTTGATCACTTCTTCCAAGTTCTCAATCCACTGGGACAGCCTTGGACAAAAGAGCCATCCGATACGGAGATCATACCTCGTACATCCTCCCGTGGTTCTGCGCACCACGTATAGTGAGTCCCTGCATCAGAAAATTTGTGTCCAACAGCGTGGCACCCGTTTGCAACTGGGAAGCCGTGAGCTACTTACAGGGTCGGTCTTCAGACGTGCTGCATGAACCTATAGGGATGGAAATCCTGAAGGAATCCTCCTGATTCGGGAGAAGACCAAACAGTCAATTGTGGTCGAACGCCGACTATGTCAGTTTAATGGAATGATGGTGGCAATAGACTTCTTTGGCTCCCGACTTTGAGTCAAGAAAGTTCCACTCCTCCTTCTCAAATTTTCGAAGGAAAGCAGATTTGACGAGCACCTGAGGACCAAAGACCCCACGTCGGTGTATACCAGCGACAGAGGTGAAGAGTTGCTATATACATCTCGCGATGCGCCCTTGTCAAACTTGCTATTTCAAGCCCCGCGTTGACATGCTTCGATTCCGCCGCCTTGCCATTCAATTGGTCGATGCGCCCATCGATGACGCCCTCTGAGATTGCGCGGACCACCCAGGGCTCAACACCACTGGGAGTCTCCTGACCGGATGGACTCAACAAGTTCCGTTTGCAGTTGAGAGACCAAATTCCCTGCGTCTTCTTTTCTTTGTTTTGGGGATTTCATAGACAGCTACCACCAAACTTGGGATGAATCCAGTCTGGGGTTCTCCCAAGCAGGTTTGTGTTGGTTGCATTCAGGCTAGGTGAGCATTTCCTTGTGTGGCCATTGGCCATGCATCTGTTTGCAAGGCAACCAAAAGCCCCAAATATGATACATATGCTTCAGCCGCTAGCCCCACACGGGTCACGACGGAGCACATCCTGAATCTGCTTAGCAATCTCATCCAAGGGCAATTCGCACCTGTCACATGCAACAAGAGATATATAGGACACCTTCAATTCAGCGACGTCTATGTGAGATGGGCGTATACATGCGTAGTAAAAACGCGCTGTTGCATTCTCTCATCTGCTTTTCACACCAAGGCAAGCACTGCCCTCTTGCCATCGTGGCCAATGTGAGGAGTCGGATCTTGGACATCGCTTCCTGCTGGGAGATGGGTACGAGTACATGTCCTGCAACAAAGCCTTCAAAGTCTTGGCAGACTGCTCTTGACCTGTTGATACGGGTTACCGTATGGTTGGCCTGGTTGGCAACCTGTAAAGTCTTACCCGACCCATGAAGACCGAACTTGATTTACATCTATCCGACGAGCTGGATAGACATTGTGTTCTTTTTGCACAAGAAATGATCATCATCTCGAACTGGCGAATCGGCAAATCCAGGCATGGCGTACACACTGACGTCACATCCCAGGCATGTCGCTGGATTTCGGCGGCCGGGCCAATTCCTGAAAGCTCAGACCGTGCTCGTCAAAGATCTTCCCGTTCTTCTTCTGGAACTCCTTGGTAAACATCAAAGAGCAGTGCGTGGTGTCACCCAATAGATGCGATGGCCTCCAACCGCCCCTAGCGGTAGAACATGGAACATGGAGCAATCATTTCCGTCCGTTTGGGGACCACTCGATTTGAGACGTTGCAGAACACTCCCAGACCACTCCTTAAGGTCGTCCACAGTCCCAGACCTTGGCGATCCGAGGACAGGGGATCTAACAAAACATCTCCGGCACATAATATGATGCGCGGTGCGTTGTCTTTTTCACTTTTTAAATGTATAATGTCAATGATCTTTAATGTGAAAACAAACTTATATAGTTACACACGTTTGCCCATATTGCTACATGGCAGTGCTGCCGTATTAAAGAGTGCAAGCTAGTTACACACAGGATTGTAGAGGTGTGTTTTCCTGGTACAGTAGTCCAATAGCGAGAGCTGGGAAGTGCTGTTCTTGGACATCTTTGGTTGCCTCGGCCTCGGCACAGCGTCTCCACGAAATGTGATAAAAACCCTAGCCCCCATGACACGCACAGTTTGGAGCAACAGCATCAACCTTTTCTTGCGTTTCACGGTGAATACAAAGTCTTCTCTTCTGGGATGGAGTCGCGCAGCGACAGCCGTGCCATTCACCTGCTGATGGTGACATGGCCCGTGTGTGAAAGTATTCCACACCCTGTTGGCATTCTACTTGGGGTATTGGGTGGCAACAACTATGAACAAGGAGAGAATTGGCAATATAATGGAGGAAGAACGGACAAGACGAACAACGATGGCAAATTAGAGGTCGCAAGACCGCAACTCCTGCAGGAATTAACTATATATATAAAATTATATAAACATTATAGGATTCTTGAAACATGCTGGGGGTCTGGTGATGGAAAAGGAATCCAGGATGGCGAACGTTCGCCTGGTGATGGTGCGAACAAACGCATCTGATGTCCGATGGTTTTTTGGCGGCCTCAAGTGCCATGTCGTTGGTTGTTGACGGATAAGAGTTGGAGAGAACGGGCGCATGATAGAGGCTTTAATGCTATTCCTAGGCCTTCCGAGTCATCTACCTGATAATTTTATACATCATGGTTTGGGGTATCTTGCTTTGATCTTTTCAAACCCACACTCTTGGGACGAGTATTTCATCGAGCCCTTGTCAATGACAGAACAATGCTGAACATGCAAAACCAGTCTCGCACTGCAGGTGTTTGTCAACCTAGCCTTTTTCCAAAATCCAAAATCACACACCTCTTCGGATTACTTTGTGGAATCTCTCGCATATGCTCTAGTCCTGTATTCTCAAACATCTTTCAACGCTGTTCAATCCACTCATCTCTGACATCTGAGTTCCCCAGCAGGAAAATCTCACATAGCGTCACCAAAGCTTCTTGCTTGGTGCCCTTCAGCGCCTGTGAACCGGCAGGACGAACGTCGAAAACGACACATCCTGCCCCAAACAGCCATGTTCTGTTGGTTTTGGTCCAAAACATGACTGTTTTAACGTGACGAGGTTCAACGTGGCCAGTTCAACGGAGCCAACCTTCACGCTATCCAGCATGAGAATGTCATCGAACTGAATGACCACAGGTAGCGTAATGGCGTCCTGCCAGAACAAACAAAAGAGAAAAACACACAATGCATCATCATGTGTCACATGTCCATGACGATCCAATATGATCCATGCATCTCCCGCGTGTTTTCATGTGTTTTCAATGTTTGCGTATGCCATGTGGTACAGAATCCAATGAATTCAATTTTGATTGAACAATCATCAATCAAACATCGACCCTGCGCATGTCATCAAATGCCAGTGCATGGCTGCGCGACCTTTGAATCACAACCAAAGCCTGAAATGCATGTTGATTGAATTTCAATAAATTTATGTAAATTTCTATTGACTTCTTACCGAAAAACTCTTGTGATTTCAGGGGCAATGCAGCAGCATACTATCAAACAAAGAAAGCTTCACCTTCAAGTACGTGTGCCAGTTTGCTCCAGGTGCGCTTAAACATTCAGAACTCGCAGCCACCAAACAATTCAACCATAACACCCCAAGACCTTTGATTTTAAGATGGATTGCGGGGCTTTCCCCAAAAAGCATCTTCACATGAAAGGCAACAACTTCCAAACATTGATGAGTAGACAGTGTATTTTTACTATTCAGATCACTTGCGACGACAACAGCATCACCAGCATCATGGGTGGGGTGGGATCTAATGGAATGATTTGCCCATGCACATCTGACATCCGTGCACGACCGACACACACACACACAGTTTTTCTATGATCTAAGGATTACAATTTGTCTGTGATCTAAGGCTTGCTGATGCCTACGCACCAAGCATCATCAACATCATGGGTATGTGTGCTGCAAGAAAATCGGTGTCACAAGCGAGGCCTGGCTGAATCGCACTGTCGGTCCTTCATGAGCTGAACCGTTTGGTCTGCCACCTGAGCAAGGCATCACGGTGACGTGAATCGGGCATTACGGTAGGACCGGTAGGACAAGGTAAGGAGGGAATACTTCGGACTTTCAATGCGAAACTCATTGGACATTAACTGCTGCGCCACGTCACAATCTCCCGCGATTTCTTCCGAGGCCGGCGGAGGCCATAAAAACCGGCGGCGTTTTGGTTTCCGAGTCGTGAGGAACTCGGATGTTTTCCCGCGCCCGGTCTCCATGGCCTTCGATGGCCCAAAAGAGCCGCGCCTTTGGCTTGATGAGCGCATCTTTCGGCTCACCCTGGAAAAGGCTGTGGTACCTGTGGATCGAAGCAAATCCGGCCCAGTTTGGTTCGATCTGCTTGGACACACCAACTCCCCAAAGATTGGAGTCTTGCAGGGAAACAAGTTCAATTTCTCAAGCTGCTGGAGTTACAGGGATATGGAAATCTTGCTTGTGGCACATCTTCAAGTACTGGAAGGCCTCTGGCCTTTTGCCATAGTTCCTGACGTGCAAAACTGTCCAAACTGCACGTTTTGGCGACGTGGGTCTCAAAGAACCGCCCCATCTCCCGATACACCAGCCGCCACTGCTCCTGTAACAACTACACTCAAGTTTCCCCAAAAATCTAGGAATCAATTGATTAGTCTCAGCGGGAGCTTGCTTGAAGAAGCGTGAGCACACTTACAGAAGCTTTAGTCGCTAGGAGCTTACTTCCGCCCATACTTACTTGAGTAGCCGCCTCTTAATTAAGTAAGGGCTATGCCGCTCATTCTGCCAAAAACCTCCCTTGAGTCATCTTGAGTGCTCAGGTCCTCATGTACGTAGAGATGCTTGCGTAGAGCTCACGTTTGTCATCGATTTGGAGGTAGGCGTCCCAATCCGCCTCAGCGGCTCAGGTTATTCAGTCCGTGCCCCAGAGTTGATGGGTATTGGAGTCAAAACCACAGAATCGATCCCCCTGACGACATCGCTGCCATTAAAGATCATTAAAGCTCCTGGATGTTGAACAATCCGTCTGGCCGCAAGCGGCTGTGTTCTTGGCCTTTGCGGTTCCATCCGAGTCATTCTTCCCTGATGGAATGACACCATCCAAGAGTCTGGCCATCCAGGATTCCAGGTAGTCAAGGTAGGGCAGCACCTCTTCCACCGCAGAATTCAGTCGGAATGGCGAGCCATCTTCGATGGAATGGGACGGAACAGGGCGAAAGAAGGAACCTACTCTATACTACACACAACAGGTTAAAATGATGTCACAGTATCTGGAAATTACTGATGCCCAGTATATCCCAGTATATAGTATTGACTTGATTGATTGGGGATTCTTATCGAACATTACTCCTTTGTCTCTTTCGGCATCTTTCGGCCTGGTCAAACATGTCGGCCCGAGCCGCAAAATCCAGGGTGTACCTCGCACCCCAGCGCGCGCTTCGCATGGAACTGGTGACTGAACATCTCGAGCCCTGCATCTAAAGCGCACAATTATGATTCTCACTCGTCTCGGAGCCATCTTCACCGCTACTCACTGAGCACCTCTGAGCCACACTTGCAAAACACTCCACCAATCTGTGTCAAAACACATGACATCCAAGGCTTCTTGTTTTGCCGGTCAAAGCATGATAGTATGGTGGTCAAAACATTCTGCAGTCATCAAGAACCCGTGTGTTCCTCGAAAGCAGCTCGCAGAGTGTTGTTTCATATGGTTGAAAAACAAATTGCAAAGGCCTGAAGACAAGCTCTTTGCTACGTGACAAAAGGAAAACGATATAGTGAGTTGTGGCTCTACTCATGGGGAGGTGGCTAGAACAGGACTTCTGAGGTATCGCTTTGGGTATCCCTCTAAAATAGTCTAACATGCTCTATTGTTTTGTTTTTTCCCGAAAACAGTAGTATCAAATAAATATCCTTGAGAGTTAGCCTATTCCTGGAACAGAAGTGGACAAGCTGCCTCTTCCTAGCCATTCTGCTCCTAAGATCCCTGAACAGCTATGCGCCAACACAGGCCATGGAAAACTCCAAAATGTACTGGTATCATTTCTGCAGGGCTCCCTATCGCTACACACAGTGATTGCAGAGTTTTACAAAGTCAAAGGCGGTTCACCTCTAAAACTCTTCATAGGACGTTTTGGCCCTTGCTCATATGATTACCACATTCCTGATTGAACACCGCAAAATACCTCTGGGCGCACTTGAAGACTCGGTATCTGAACCTGGTCTGACAAAAATCATCCACGTAAACAAAGCACAGAGTAAACAAACAAACATGCAGCTTCCTATATTGAAGTCCTCTACTACTTCTATCAAGCTGCTCCACCGCTGGATTGTTGAAGGTGTTGTACAGCATCATGAGGAGTCTCAATCGCAGCTCCGGCTGCCTTGGCATCAAGAAACCTTGACAGCTCGTGGCCAATGTAGTAGCGTCCTTGCTCCTAGTAGTAAGGCCAGGAGCCCCTAGTAGAGTCCTTGCTCCTAGTAGCGATGCCAGGAGCCCCTAGTAGCGTCCTTGCTCCTAGTAGTTACCCTTTCAGAACGCCATTCCTTCAAAGCTGTTGTCTTGAAATCACTCCATTCCTTCTGCTTCCACGGCTTGTTCTTGGCAACTGAGACCCCGTGCTGTTCAGTGTTCGCGCTAAACAAATCACAGAGCTGTGTAGTGGCTCTGTCCAGGTGAGTCGCATCCTGGACAATGGAGTCACGATGGTGTCAACAACGGACAGTCGCACGTGTCGCACGGGGTCTGTCTGTGCCCGGATGAGGACGCACTTCGTGTTTGTCGAGCAAGTGAGGACGATGAGCATCTAGCGAAAGGCTTGAGGGCTGATCTAGCGAACATGAATCAACTGATCTTGAAGGTATCCCTCCAAATGCTACACGCTCCAGTCATCGAGTCGACTTGTCTTCATTTGTCTTCCCATCCCCTTTAGTGCTACACCGATCTGGAGGTGCGCCCTTTACGCGTCTACCCATTGGTCTGTGAGAGGACCGTCTCAAACGCGGTCCTCGAGCAGTAGCAGCATGCTCAAAATCAGCGCGAAGAAGCTCTGACATTCATCGACACCGAGCCGGGCGAGCAGCAAACGCGACCGAGAAGCAACGCTTTCACTAGATTCTGACACCACACTTCGAATCTCCATGCAAGTATGCCTTTGTTCAGGTACTTCACGGTATTTCTATTCTTTTGTTCCACCGTTTGGCGTGTCCAAGACTATCGAGCACCAGTGCTTTCTTAAAACCCTCGTCATCGGTATGAAGCCTCGACCTCCCTCAGCCGCTCTTCTGGTTTATTCTCAGGGATGGCTGAGAACAAATTCTGGCGCGCGGCTTCAAAGGGCATTGCGACTGCAAGGATCTTCATCAGTCTACTGAGTCTACTGTTTGATGTGTTAATGAATGTCAAGAGGGTACTGTATACGATTCATTGCAAAGCATATATGGTAGGACCCGGTTGTAGAGCCCATCGTATGTTTAGAGTTTAGACTCCTTCCATACAAGACTGCACAATATTTACAAACTGACCTGACCAAGTTGGGTGTCATTTTTGTTGCTTCTATGGTATATCATTGTGTGATATTGTATGTTCGTCCCGACAAGAGCAAACACCACAATCATGAATCCTGATGCCAAAGAAACCAACGCCTTTTTGTCAAGTGCTCGAGTGCTCAATGCCCCAGCACCTTGCTATATTCGACGAGCAGATCAAAGACAGGACCGTAGTCGTACCTTCAGCTGCCAGCAATGGAAGAACAACAGTTGAATATAAACGATACACATAACGATGCACTTCTTGCTCTCCCCTCTTTCAGGAGCTAACGCAATGCGAGGTCAGAGATGTCTGATCAATACCATCTGGTCAGACTGGATGCGTCTCGATCAGCAAACGCGCCTCTTGCTCGTTTCTTGAGCATCCTGGCCGGGCGGAAGTGGAGTCGGACCGTGGTGAGGTTGTTTAGTTGGTTGGTTGGGCTAGAAGAATGAGATGCGACCTGCAGCCTGAGCTTTAGTATTCCTACATTTGCTTTTGTGGTCACCAAATGCATATCACACGTTGAAGCGAAAAGCAACATTCAATTCCAGGTCCATGATAGAACATGGGTCAACAACTTTTTGCACGGGGCCCCCTCCATTGCGGTACCCCTCCTTAGATGGTCAAATTGTCAAAGGTGCTTGTAATCCACGCCAAAGCTACTTTCGCACTACCAGTAATTCAGCCATTTATGCATATTCATGCAGTCAAAGGTGTCCCCCGCCAAAGGCCTCGGCAACCCGTGCTAACAAGCTCGCAGTGTCTTGCTAACAAGCTCGAGTCCTTGAAGTCCTTCTTGAATCTTTCAGTAAAGGCTTTCTCGGCTTCGAGCCCTTGCTGCTGTTGCAAAACTCTCCTGGCCACGTTTTGGCCGAAGCGAACCACACAGCGACGCGCACCGTCGCACGTCTGGAGCGGAGTTCGACGAAACACTTGAGAGGATCTCTGGAAGATTTTTTTCTTGGGATTGGCATGAAGATCATTTTTCGGTTGGAGGCCATCGCTATGAGGAGTCTTTTATTTTTTCTCCTCTCTCTCTCTCTCGGCTCCGAGCCAACACGACGCTCGGCTCCGTCTGGCGGAGTCCGGCGCCGGAGAACGGCGCCCGGGTCCAAAACAGCTGGGGAGACTGCAACCACTCAGCGCCCTGTACAATGGCATCCTCCTGCAGTCGGAAAAAAGACGCTAGTAACAAAGGAACTTATTTAGATTAGTGGCCATGCCTCTCTCCCAAACTCAAGTGTACAATCCACAACGGCACACTGTAAGAGTAGATACGGTAGATTGTGCAAAATGGCATGGACTCCTTTTCTCTGTCTTGCTCAGCCGACAAATCAATTCCTCACCTCTCCCTCACCGTAGTTGATGTAGGTAGCCATGCTGTCCTGAAACATGCTGCGAACTTTTCCCGAACTGGGCGCTGGTCAGCCAGTCGGAGGCACACATAGCACACAGAGACAAAGGAGGTGGTTTTAAAGAAGTTCATCATCTTCCCATACTTCTTCGTAGATTTCCTACGTTATTGTGAGAAAGAACAAAGCGAACGAGCTTATTGCCATTTGCAGCACACTTCCCAGCCTTTTCGCGGACAGCGGCTGGGAGATGCGTGGCCCAGCTCGAACCGGCAAGGCGTCCGCCCGGATTGGCATGCCGTGCTTTCGGGCGATGTGGGCACTGCCGCTGTGGGTCTTTCAATAAAAGGTATAGACTAGGAGGTAGGTCTAGCTTTGCAGGTAATTGGCTCATCACAAGACCAACCTATCATTTCATTACATGGCACAGCCCAGCTGCTACTTTTGCATTGAGTTGTACTGGTACAAACTGAAAAGCACACCCAAAGACGGTACAAGCCAAGGCAACCGTGCTGCTCCTTTTTTTCCTGTACCTATTACCATATTGGTTCTGTGGCGGTTGGTCATACCTTGGGCTCTGCCAACTGCAAAGTTCTTTACAATCCATCTCACCTGGAAAGTGTGAACGGTCCAACTCATCATTTCCGAAGCAATGTGTGCGTGTGTATCTTTGCAAATCTTTCTAGCTTTCCAGGAAGTTTGCCTCAGCAACCAAGATGCAAAGGTGGCTGGCCACCTCTGCACAAGGGCTGAGTCACTGGAACAAAAACTTGTATCCTGACTCATGTGGTTTTACCTCACGAACGGGTAATCTATTAGATACCCGAATGTCAACTAAGGCAAAAACGCACATGTATAGGTACTTTGGATTGGATCTTTCAACCCCAAACAGGTCCCCTTTCTTTTGAGCTCAGCAAAGACCTTTAAGGTCTGCTTCTGTGGCTCGGGCCGCTCCAATTCTGGAGGTGTCCGAAAACCATCACGTCAGCGTCCCCGGCCATTCCTAGAGACCTTCATTCCCATAGACGCTTCCGGCCAAACCAATAGATGTCTCCCCATGCGCCTGACGAGAGTGGCACCATCGATTGCCGGCACGAGAGATACATCAAGTGGCACAGCAGTGTCACACCGCCAAGACAACAGGTTGTTTCGCACTTTAATGAACAACGAATGCATCGCTTTATTTCATCTGCTTGCTTGCCACATCATGCTCCCCCCAAAAAGGGGAATAATAGACATATATACTATCTTGAAGTATCTTGTAGTAACAAGTGCACCGCCACTAGTAACAAGGGCATTGCTACTAGTAGCAAACAGCTACTAGTAACAAGTCCATCTTGATCTATCTTGTCTTCTTCTTCCAAAAGGAAAACACGCAAACATCTCCTTGTGTTCTCTCGCCCCGTTCATTTCCCGTTTCACTCGGTCCCGTTTCACTTGATCCCGTTTTGCTGAGCCCACCGGTGTCTCGGACTCCTCGGATGCCTCAAACTTGTCGTGGTAAACCCTTTTCGACGCCGTTCATTGAGCCATTATGATCCTTTATGATCCTTTATGGCTATAAGTGCTAGGGATGGAGCTATTTGAAGGAGTTGATGCCATGGGGTGCGTGGTCCAGGACATCGTGTCTCTCTCTCTCTCTCTATATATATACACTACTTTTTTCTTTATCAGATTAGAGAGCGAACATTTGAAGACTGTCAGTTAGTGTGCAACATATCATTCCAGTCTTCTGAGCACAGTACCAGATGTTGTCTGGGCGCAAATCCTTGACACCAGCGAAAAGCCAATGTGTCCCGACCGCGGCGGGAAATGGCCAATGACTTGCTGAGGGCAGGTCTGTGCAAAAGCCAACTGAGTCGTCTAGACGCTTTCCTCAGCTTCATTGATGGGAATGTGCGACAAGGACAAGGAACATGAAGATCATGCAACAGTGAACTTGTATACTTTTGACGGGTTTTGTATTCTGCAAGGGTTTGACTCCCAGACTTGTACTGCACAACAAAAGCCTTGCATTGCCTGCGCCATTGCTGCGTGAAATTGTGGTCGGTGTTGTGGATTGCACAGTGCTGCGATGGTTGGCTTATGACTGTTATATGCAGAAACCCATCATATTAGAGAGGGTGAGAAGTTGAGAAACATGAGTGTAGGACGCTATATAATCTCAGTTTGCTTTGGACAGTCCAATCCTGCATTATGATGCCTTCTCATGTTCTTGGACTCCCAACGGACAAGGCCAGTTCGATAGAAGACCAGCGTCATTGGCAATTCTCTGGCAGTTGTAAGTTCCTTCTACACTGTACACACCTGCTTTACAAGTAGCTCAGAATTCAGCCTGTTGGGCAATCATTGTACTGTGTGCACAGGGTTACCAGTCGAAGGTTCCAAACAAGCACGCTCAGTCAACCTTGTACCATCCAGGTGAAGTGAATATAGCGAAACCGAACAAACTGAACAAACATGTCAGACAACTGTGCTATTCAAAAGTCGTGCCAACCAGCATTTCACCTCTGACGCCCGAAGATGGCGAACCAATCACGAGCATGCTGGGGCCTGTGACACGTTTCCGTATGCTAAGGCCAAGTCTGCGGGAGGCCAGGCAATTGTGCACTGTTGGCCTCGTGAGCATTTCTCCGTCGCCGCTGCAGCGTGTGCATGCTTGTTTTAGCGAAAAACGACCCCAAGAAAAGCCAAGGGAAGTCCCCTGAGGTCACATCCGGAAAAGGATGGAACAAGAGGCTACTAGTAACAAGGTGCATCGCTTCTAGTAACAAGTGCCTTACTAGTAGTAACAAGAAGCTATTAGAAACAATAAGCTACTAGTAACAAGGGCATCGCTACTAGTAACAAGGTACTGTATAGAATAGATACCCTGCAGGTGTCGATCGATCTCACTCATCACAAAACCATCGATCTGAGCGAGCGACCAAACCGTTCAAAAACCGACCCCCCAAGGACACTTTGCAACACAGAACCACCAGGTTCCAAGGACGTTTCAGCAAACATGGAAAAGGCCACGGGACCATGGCGACCAGCGAATGATTGAAACACCCAAGGCAGAAGGAGCTCAACTGTCTGAGGGTGCTGCTGGCGCAGCAGCCACTGTTGCTGAACCTGAGCCATCCCGGTCAGGATGCGCCGAAAAACGGACCGCCAACTTAAAAGCAAAAGGGATAGCCGGGACCGAACATGTCGGTAAAGCACGTACCACGAAACACTGCCTTTGAATGTGGATAACTTCTTGTCAAGCCCAACTGCAAACTTGTCAACAACAATTCAACGATTAAACTTTCAACAAAAGTTGTCCGACGTTGGTCTGATGATGACCCTTGCTCTGAGTAGAAGAACTAGGATATATTTTTTTGTTTGGAGGGCATGAAGCTGCCTACTATATAGTCAAAACTGCACAAAACTCTTAGTATCAGGCCATAGCCTTCCGCGATTTCTGTCTGGCTGAGCCAGCTCTCACTTTCCATCCTCCTGCGCTCTATCTCCTGCAAAACGGAAACCACACATTACTCCGTCTTTCTCGAACCCCAAACCATTTAATGCATGTCCTGTGTACTTACGTATCTTTCAGCAACCTGAAAGATAACACAAGAATGGGAACACAAGGAACGGGGCACAAAACATGTTGAATCGACATGTGGGTCTGACAAAACAGAAGGCAACCGCCCCATAAAGCTCTAGACCTGCTTGAAAACCAGCCGGTGGACGACGCTTTCGCTCTGCTTCGCTCTGCTTCGCTCCTTCGGTTCCGCGTCCACCAGATCTTCTTCGAGAAGGACCGGCTCCAGTGCTGCCAACTTTTGCCAATCTCCCGCCTGACGCGGAGTGACGTGACGTGTGACGCGAGCAGAGCTGCTCCACCCGATTCATCGGAAAGAGCGAAACTCGACGTGTGTCTTTTTACTTTGTTGTCCCACCGGAAAGAGATTGAACCGGAAGGAGGGGTCGAGAGGCAAAAAACGATCCGCGCTTGGCTTGTGGGCTTGGAAGTTCGTTTTTGGACCATGCTATGAAGAGAAACACCTGAAGAGTGGGTGAATGCTCCAGGAAAGCAATGTTTTACACAGCCACATGGTGCAACAATGTGCCACGTGAAGGGAAGACAAGGTCCCTGCAAGGTCCCGGTCTAGTCTAATGGCCCCAACTTTCATCGCTATCATGTTCCATTTTCCAAAGTAAGGCTACACTGCTACACACGAACACCAGGCTACACTGCACCCGTCCTCATTGGCAGCAAACAACTCCTCCTCCAGCAAGACGATCATGTCCAGCGTCGTCTGCACCGCAGGGTCTACTCCATGAGCTGCGTATTTCAGCTTGGCGCTGCGGATGGAGAAGGCGGATGTGGCGGATGGAAGCAGATTGTCCGTGGCCAGGCGAATGGAGAAGGGTGTGCGCTTCCGATCCGGGCGATCGCCGGTGACGGGTTCTCCAATGAAAGCGAAGGTCAGAACTCTCACTTGACCCCCACCAATGCAAATGACAAAGGTGGGCTGCAAGAGAACGGGTGGAAGTCCACGCTCGACCACCAGCTGCATGCCAGGGCTCACCGAGATATTCACGGCACACTCTTCGGCCAGTGCTCGCAGAACCGCTTGGTCGATCTTGCGCTCCTTGAGCCTCTGCAGGTGCTCAGGAGATGGTGTATCGTCCTCCTCCAAGTGGCTGTTGACCCCGAGCGTGCCACGTCGGCACATCAAGGTGTTCACACCACTGGATGTAAGCCCAAAGCCTTGATCGAGAAGCTCTTGAGCAATCGCATCCGCCAAGACATCCAAAGCAGCACTGCAGGATTCAGCATTCACATTCCCCACGTTCTCTTGGTGATCCGGACGGACGGGGTAAAGTCTTCGGCGCCCCAAGACCAGAATGCTACCTCCTTGCATGGTCCGTCCCAAATCCCGAAGACATTCTAAACGTTCTGCATCGGAAGAAGGAAGCACGATATCGACCTCTACAGGGCAGGGGTTGCTCAGAATGCCACATGCGCATGTCGTCATGATCCTTCGAGTATAAATCTAAATATATATATATAGTTTCTTTTTTTGTGGCAAAGATTAGAGCAAGCATGACACCACATGCAAATGTATATTTGGTGCCTATATTTTATAGTCTTATTCCAGGGAGATTTGGAATTGTTGACACCTTAGCAATTAGGAGCAAGGACGCTACTAGGGGCTCCTCGCATCGCTACTAGGAGCAAGGACGCTACTAATGGGACAAGGCTTTGGTGGGGGCTGCAACGTCTCAACGTCTTTTCGCAATCCATCACCGAGCCCTCTGGGCAATCACGTAGACCTTCAGGCAGTGGAGGGAGATTGGAGTGCCAAAAACGGCTTTGGCTGTCTCCGAGCCGTTCCATGGCAGTGCTTAGGAACTGCTTGGAGGTCACAGCAATCTTTTCTCCCAATCGTCTAGCATGGCTGTCTGCCCGTGCAGCTGAATGGGAAGCCTCAGTCACAGCTGTGAAGCTCAAGTCCTTGAAATTGCATCAGTCTGCATCTTCCTTCCATATCTAGGCTGCTTAGGTCTTTGCTTTAGTTCATTACCATTGAAATAATATATGACTATATATATATATATGTTGTTCCCTCCTCTCTGAAAGTTCCAAGTTTACCGAGAAACCGTCAAAATGATCTTGTGGGTTCCAGAGCTCACAGAAGAGGCCAAAGTGGAAAACACAGGGGCCCTGCTCGACTCGACGGAAGAAGCCATGGCCCAAACGCCTTCGGATCAGCTAGACATGCCAAGGCTGAACTGACTAGTCCTACAAGACTGGTAGCCCCTTGAGTGTTGGTAAGCTCAAAAAAAAGACTGTAACTTTGGTGTTGATGGTCGTTTTGCCATGGCTTTCCCATGTGGTGCCCCGTCTTGTGCCACATGTGTTGTGCGATGTCCTCTTGTGGGCGATTTCGCTTCGAGTTATGATGTAAGAAGCGAAGAAACCTTTCACAGCGAGCCTCAGCAAGCTTCTTTTTTGGCACTTGCGAAAATTGTGCGCACCTATCTGATATATCTGATGATATGGAGCACACCTATCCCATGAGCATACCTGTAAATGGCTGCCAAGAATCATGCCGTTCAAGTTTTCAACTATGAAGGGAAGTTGTCGTGGCCATCTCATCATTGCCTTGGCCTACTACATCTTTACGGCAAAGTGAACATATACCATTAAAGAAACGACATTGACAGTAAACCCTTTCAACACCCACAGTGTTTCGATGCTTTTAGTCTCCGGAAGGGCAGGCACAGCGGACTCCAGAGTGTATTGACCTAGGTTGCCTGGAGAAGGGCTTCGCTACATCGGTCACACGCGATGCCACGGAAGCAACCGAATGCTTTGACACCCCTTCACAAAAGCGCGGTTTTTCCTGCGCGCGATCGGCGTCGCTCTTCTCTGGGCTTCCGTCTGGAGCGCGGAATTCCCTAGCTGGCTTTGGCTTTGTATTTCTTTGTGAGGAGGCAGGACTCGACCACTGTGATGCCCCAGTCCTGCGACGTCGTGTTTTTTCTTGTTTGCCAGGGCAAAGCAAAGCCGTCGGCACACTGCACAGGGCAATAGAGCGATCAGTTTGGTACCATATACAGTACCTAGTGGTTGTCAATCTGGGGGTATTCATGGGTATCCCCTCTAGTAATTAATCAACCAACCAATAGTAAAAGGCCATCTATGGTTCTGTTGCCTCACACATCCATTTCTCGGTTGCAAACATGCGATCTTTGTGAGTCCTTACCACTATTGTGGCCAGCACCATCAACTCCAGCCCTTTCCTTCGCCTGGCCAAATGCAGTGTTTCTAGCTACAAAAGTGATCAAGCAAGGACCAGTTTCTTTTTCTGCCTTGCAACTTGCCAGTTTGCCATACTGTTTTGCCACCGACAGATTTACAACAGGAAGGCAAGCGATATCGGAATCGTTTGACATTTAGTAAGGATTGGCATGTTTCATTAACTCTCGGCTCTTTGTCAGTACTTTGCGAACGATTTCGCTTTCTAGGCGCGCTTCCAGATTTTCCAGGGATGTTAAAATGCTTTCACAAAGACACATCATCCTTCTATTTCTCTTCTCACTGACTTGGTCATTCGTGATTTCCCCAAAGTCTCAGGCCACTGGATCACTTTCGCTTCGTCTTGGGTAAGGGATCAAAAAAAAGCAAAAAAAAGACTCAACAAAAAAATACTCAACGGGGATCAATAAAAAAATAAAAAGGGAATCAAAAAAATATTCTAGCCCACTGCCCCTCCTAGTAGGGAGCTATTTCTACTGGTGAACCATTTTTCGAGTAGGGCTACTCAATGACTGGACGGCAACCTTATCGTTGGGTACCTACTTTCTTCCCAGGGAGCTGCCTCTAGTAGAAAGCAATCAAGCCTCTATTTGCGCAAGCAGGGGACCAGGAGATCGACAGACGAGCGCCGTACGAGAGCAAAAGACCAGCGGACCAGGAGACAGAAGGACTAGGATACCAGGGGACCAGCGGACCACAGGACCAGGAGACCGGAGGACTAGGGGACCAGTGGACTGAAGGACCAAGGGACCAGGGGACCAAAGGACCAGTGGACCAGAGGACCCAGGGACCAAAGGACCAAGGGACCACATTACCAGAGGACCCGCAGACCACAAGGCCAAGAGAGCAGCAGAAGAGGCCTATCAAGGAATATTTATTTTCTGATTCGCTTTTTATTTTTTTTTGATCCTGTTTTTATTTTTTTTTGATGCTCTTTTTATTTTTTTTTGATATATACCTATGCCCTTCGTCTTCGGCACGTTTTGCGTCCGGGGCCCTGGGGCCTGGTCTTCCATTCGATTGAGCGCACAACACATGGCAAAATCGCCTGCTCCTCGTTGAGGCAACCAAGGATTCCATAGATCACCTCAGCAATCAAGGAGATCACCACGTTCCGCAACATCGAACCAATGCACTTGAGGAGGGTGAGATGTGCTGAGGTGCTTGTTGTTCGTTCTTTTCTCATGGCTTTCTCTACTTTCCTCCGATTTGGCGATTGAACAAGACGCGGTCTTTAACCGGTGATGCAAACAAAACGGAACTGCGGAAGCGGCTGGTGATGCGGACCACGACGATGGCGACAAACGCCCAATGGCTCACCACCAGCCCGGTCTCTGAGCCAATGGCAGGCACCTTGAAATCAAGGTTGAGCCTCATGATTCCCTGTGTCACAGCCTGGCACCCAAGTTCACAAATATCTTCTGTGGTCCAGTTCAGGTCTGTTTGGGAGCCGCGACGAAGACAGAAACTGGACGCAAGAAAATGACTCTCCTCGCTGATGTACTCGAAATGCATGGTGCCACCTTTGATGAGGCAGCCAATACCTGCCAAACTCGTCAAGGAACCGCTTGGGAAGAGCCAAGCCCGGTCTCAATGGCCACCCGTGGATCCTTGGTTCCACTCCTTTCTGAGCCCCAAAAAGACGAAAGCTGCAATCACTTGTTGGTGTACGACCGTAGTATAGACAGTGCCTGGGAATCCATTGGACTAGACGACATCTACTGTAAACTTAAAGGATGTCAGCCAAAACTCCGGTTAGCCAAACGCCCAACGCCAAAGACGCCTCAAAAAAGAAGTACCTAACGAGGCAATTGAAGAACGGACTGAAACATCAAACATTCTAAACAATAGGCAATGGACACACTGCCTCACGGTCACGTTCTCATCCGAATTCTACCAAACACTGGCGTTCTCATTGCGCACAAATGATGCCATCGAAGTGACCCGTGAGGAGCATCGCCTGAAGAAACAGAGCGGTGTGGGTCGGTCAAAGCGAGTGTGGTTGTGTGGTCAAAAAGAGCTCTTTTCATCTCTTTTCCATTTAGCCATGTGAAAGCACTGTAACAGTTCAAGAACAGGCGGTGAAGTTGGTGAAGCACATTTTTCAACTACCCATGGGTAGGCTTGGAATCCTAAACTCAAAGACCTTTCACAAGGATCCAATTTTCAGGCTACCGAACCTTTGAACGACTGCAAAGGTTGATCTCACCAGCATGACTCCAGGCCTGTGCTGCCTGCGGTATTTCGTAGGATCCAGCCTCAAGAAATCGGATCTTTGAAATTTGAGACAAAGCACAGCGGGTGAAGCTGCGAAGTTGGATCGCATTGGTTGGCGCCAGTCCGGTATGACGACTGGACTGTTCTCCACAGGATTACGTGCGAGACCCAATCTCAATCTAGACCCACTTGGTCTTGACGGAGTGCAACATCTGGCAAACAAACATGCAACATGAACATGATCCACACAGCTCGAGAGATGTGAGGACAAAGTCATATTTCAACTGACTTAACTTCAATTCAATCACTAGAATATCGATAGCTTTATGGCCCATGGTGCAGCATAGACACTGATGAGTGAACACACAGGAGCTCGTGCTGTAGCAAATTCACACAGGAAAACGAGGCCACGTTCTATCGGTTGTTGCTGGCGTTTTGCCCGGTTGTTCTGCCGGATCTGTTCGCTTTCCTTTCAACATTGCAAAGGTTGACCCTCCAGTCTCGGCATCGGTGTCACGCCATGCGACAACGTGCTCGGTGATGATGTCCGTGACCTGGCTTTGTGGGCAACAGGGGCGGGAGAGGAGCCCCTTGCGTGATGGGTTAATCAAATGAGACCTCACAAGCTTTACTTCCGTATCTTCTACAATCCGAGAGACGCAAACAAAGAGCCCGTCTCCGGATTCTCTTTGACAAATGTACACATTTGCCAATGTTTGTCATAGAGATCCATGAATTGAAATGAAAGGCTGATCTGGTGCCATATCTCAGTCCCTCACATTGCAGGACTTCAGAGCTTCAACCGCCCCTGCAACCAAGCTATCCTTAGCCGTTCACCGTTCCTGGAAAGTTTCGATATCGCCAATGCTTGAGAAGACTGTTGTGGCAGGAAGGACTCATATCCAAACAGGAAGGACTCATTACCCATGAATCTGTCAGTCACGGCTTCGCTGGCCACTCCTCACTCAGACTCCGGCACACACCACGGAGTTCCATCTAGCACTTACAATGCCGATCCGCAGGCCAGCACCATCATAGGTGGGCAAGTCCTTGGTGACCGGCATGAGATTTCTTGGTGGGGGTAACGTTTCCAAGCCTTGAAACTGCATGCAAACGTCTGCTTTCGTGCACACACACGATTCACTTTCTCCCTTCAATGAAGCCAACCACGGCCAACAAACCTCCACATGCCCACGAACACTTGATTCCAGTACCTGGCTACGCGATTCGCACCATTTTATAACACCCATTCCAAGTGAGGTCAACAAATGTCACACGGATCGCTTCTGAGCTGCTCGGAACATGCTTGCGATCCAGCGGCCAAACCACGGATTGACTTTGCACCATCTGGGTTTGGAGCCTCGGATGGCGTGGGTTTTGGTCGCCCATCGCCAAGGCGACAAGGCGACAAGGCTCAATGCTTGTTTTTTTGCAACATCCGAACTTGATGCTAACAACATCTAACAACTGGGTGGGTAAACCGAACTGTACCACCGCTCTTGCGGCTAGTCAGCTGGTTTCCACTGAAGGCTTGCCACCGCAGCTGTCTAAATGCTGCTCCTACGTAATACTTGGGTCGGAGGCTCTCCGATGCACGTCGCACGGCGTCTGGAACGAAAAGCCTCGACCAGCGACCGGCCGGCCGGGGGGGCGACATTTTCAATTTTTCGCTTGGCCGTCGCCATGTCCTGGGAGCAAAAACATCTCTCATTTCTCATCATTTCTCCATCTCACAAGAGTCAACACTCAGCCAAACACAACGCGCAAGGGCCACAGTGGCAAATAGATGCAAATAGCTCACTACCGCTCTTTATTAATATGCCAAAGCAACTCTGCCCATTTCTGAGCAGCAAACTAGAAGCTGAAGGCGCTCAGCTGGAGAATTTATCAAGGGCACGGCTGGAGCCACACTCTGCGAATGGCAATGAGAACTGTCGTCAGCCACAATCCAATCCAGCGCAGTGCATCGAGGCGAACATGACGGCTGCCATGTCTATAGGGGTGAGAACAAACCATAACAACCCCAACACCTCATCATTCAGCATCCTCTATGTAGACCGTTGTTTCTGACCTTCCTTCATAGTGTCTCAAGTTTACCCGACACTTCAACATGAGTCGCATTCGGCGCGGGCAAACTCGGTGCATTTGGCGCCCAAGGAGGAGTGGTGCCTACCAAAAAAAACATTAAAAAGCAACCCTTTATGAGTGGTCAGTTAATGACGACCATTTTGACCATGTCTCAGTCCGATGCATTCCCTTCATCCTCTTCACCCCCGATCAACGCCAAAGCAGTGACATTCAAGTCTCGGAAAGAAACAGCACGCTGATCTTGAAGACTTCATGACAAGCTTCCTACCCTCTTTTCCTTCTCAGCCCGCGTGCTTGTGGACTCGAACCTACAGAGATCATGTGTCTTTTCAAATGTGTCTTCGTTCATCAGCCCACAGCTCCCATCACGACAACTTCTGCCCTTGGAGCTTCAGGTCTCTACAAACTGAGACCGAGACACTGTCTCTACACATGTCTTGTGTCTTCATCGCTCATTTGTGGTTTGGGCGAGACCAAGAGTTCCAAGCCATGTTGAGCCAACCGGCGATGAAGAGAAGCCCTCCCAATGGAGTCACGGGACCCAGAATCTTCCGAAAGCCACTGGTTTTGGGTAGCAACACCAAGCCATAGATACTCCCACTGAAGAATAGACAACCGAGTGAGAAGAGCTTTGGAGCATGGCTCTTCCCAAGAGCTGCTGACAAGCCTATCATCACTGCCTTGGAAGCTGTGGCGCGGAGCACGATTGGTTGTACGGTACGTACAAATGCCCTGCAAACAACTTTAACCTCTGAGGGGGAACCTCAAGTCATGTACCAGCTGTATATACTTAATTAAACACTTGTCAAAACGCTGATGAATTCCTCACATCTACCCGAAAGCCTCCTGTGGAGCTAAAAGCATCCTGGGAACATCTTGAACTCATCCCCACTTAAACGGCCAAAACAATGATTTGCTTCCACGGCACATGAAGCATTTGATACGACGCCGCCGTTTTCCAAGACTCCAGCAGCGCGGGATCGCTGGTGTAGTTCTTGAGACCATGCGCGCCGAAGGCCCCACACGCCACACCGATGGCTCCCAGCAAGCCGCTCACCGCCTAAAAAGATGGGGCTCGCGAAGTCACCGGAAACAAACGCTGCTCTGCGCTCGGCTTCGTTCTTTTGTGGATGGAAGTCACCGGAAATGAGACGAGTCGAGGATTCATCATCGCCAGGTAGGGGTTGAACAGCACATCGAAACCAGGAACCTCCTTATTGGTTTGTCTCAACATCTCTCAACACTGGATGGAAAGAGTAGCAAATCAATGCTGGCTAGAACCCAGTTTCTGGCCTCACTTCATACCTTGCCAACTACTCATGAAACCTTCATTTTTCTTCTGTCATGAAGCACAACTCCACATGTTCCTGCATCACATGCTGGTATCTAATGTTTGAATGGTGAATAGGGACCATCAGCCAAGGTGTGGAGCCCATGATTCTCTGATCGGAGCTCAGGCTGGAGGAAGCCCCTTCTTTTCAGACACACCGCTCGAAGCCCCTGCGGCAGGGCAAGAACTGCAACCTCATCCTAGCCCTTGAGGTGACAATCCCATCCAAATCCCTGAAGAGGAGGGCATCGCTATTAGGGTGGAGGCCATTGCTATTAAGTTATTAAGGTATACCTGAAGAGCAGAGTATCTGCAAGGAGTGAAGTCTCAGCCTTAAACATGCACATTCATGCAAACATGCAATGACATGGATGTACAATCCCCCAAAAGAATCCAAAGAGAACAAGGTCCTCCTCCTCACGTTTCGTCCAGACACGGTCCAATTCGGCTCCATCTTTCCGCCCATGTCTGTGACGGACACTGCTTTTGGAGCACTCTGCTGCGGGCCGGGTCTTGATGCACCATGCCGTGCCGGACGAGTCTCCCCCAGTCACGAGGGTCCAAAAAGTCAGCTCACTGGACAGCAGGGACTCTAACCTCGAGCGTGTTTTATTTAAGACATCCATCCAACATATCCAACACCTCCATCTTTGTGCATATTGCTCCGAAAGAGAAGATCATTGAACGAGTCTAGAATCTGGAGGAAACCAAAGTTAGAGAACGAGAACAGAGTTGATGGCCCCTGCAAGGTAAGGTCAGCACTCGATCAACGAATCAAGTTTGATCAACCCAGCATGAAACCGCCCAAATGACAGGGTTCTCATGCTGTGAGTACTTTGCTCTGCCAACAGGTGTTCTTTTTCCTGATCCAGCTTGATTTGCGATTATGCAAATAATGGAAGGCCACACTGAGGCTACATAAAAGCAAACAAAGCAACTGTGCAACAATTTGAAGATAGGGTCACCATTACAATGCACAAATCCAGATGCACACAAAGTAGGGTTGCGCCCTCATATCAAGCCCCCTGATCAACAACAACATGATGTAGTCGTAGCACAAACTAGGATACCTTTCCGGATGCATGCCCCAACCCTTCAACAAACACTCGCAGGAGTTGAAGCCTGCGCACGAGCATCTCCCTTTTGATCTACTAAATCCATGGGTTTCTGCATGAATGGTTTGCTGTACAAGAAAAGCCATTTCAACAATCCGACGACCCCCCCGGTTCTCCGGGGGGGTTCTCCGGTTTTTCTACAGGAGCCATGATATCATCCATCGGCTCAGCGGAGACAGGGATTTATTGGGATTCTTCGATGGCTTCATCCATCGAGGTCGACTGAGCGGTTGGACTCCGCCGGCGTGGATTTGGTGAGGTCTGGGTCCGAATATCGGATGCCTCCATCATCCACCGACAAATGGTCCCAAGGCCGTTCGCCTAAAATGTGAGACAGCGGTTCACCTCAGGCAAGTGGGTTGGGGCGATGAAGCATTGGATGAGTGAAAGGAGCTGGAACAGTGAAAATGGGAACGACGTTTCTAAAATGGTGCAATCCTGGACAGCTCTTTGTAAAACAGGTGTCCGGGGATATCGCTGAACGTACCAAGAACTGCGTACGTGTGCAAGGCTATCAATCTGAAGCCCCCAAATCGATCAAGCTGTGTACGAATCCCACCAGCAGTCGTACCGAAACTTGCACCTGCCAGTCGTCTCTGTACTGTAGTGCACTGAGTCCAGCCTTTGCTCCCCACAGTATTCTCAAGGGAAGTCCTTCAATAGTTCAGTGCAAAACCACCAACCTGACGAATAGCTGAGCGACTCAACACAGAAATATATGGATAGCCCCTTGAAAAAATGACGCTGTTCAAAAATGGGGTAGACCTCCAACCCCAACTACCAATGCTTTTGGCCCCACCCAATGTCGTCTTGACTGTTTTAGTCTACAGGGTTTTCCCGTCTTCGAGACACATCCAAACGCAAGTACTCAACATACACATAGCCACAAAAACCGCCCAAACCCTTCAACGCAAAACCATGGGCCATGGGGGGAAATTCCAGGAAACACAGGGCCAGCATTGCTCCACACCGTTGGTGCACCCTGCATGTGCTTTTTTGAGGCAATTTTTGAGACTTCTCAAATGCAACAGCACACAGTCGTAATCAAACCCAAAGTTGATTATTGATACATGAATAGCCTTTTGATGTCTCAACCCCTGAACTTTTTCACCAGTAACAAAATGGCATCGCCACTAGGAGCAAGGACGCTACTAGTAGCTCCTGGCATTTCTATTAGTAACAAGAAGCTACTAGTAACTAGTAACAAAGGGCATCATCACTTCCAGGTGGCCGATAGTGTTGGACCGCTGGCCCAGGCCCAAGCCGCTAAAGCCGCTACCTTGCAGGTCTGGAACGGCACACCGTCAAACGTGATTGCATGGATGACATTGTTTCTGTTTTCCATTTCTCTTCATAAGCGCAGCAAAACGATTCTTTTTGTATATATATATATACATATATGTTTACTTGCCGTTCTTCGTTTTTTCTTCCTATGCCCTGGAAAAGAAGGTCTCATGTTACTATTACTATGCATAAGTAAATTGTATAGCAACATGCGCCTAGCGATCAGCCACTGAACTTTGATGGTCTTCAACTCCAGCCAGAGCAGGAACACTTACATGGGGCTAGCGTTGGAGATTCATTCAATCTGGACCACGACTCATGACTGACCCTCAAGGCACCAACAAAAGGACAAACTGCGTAGATACCCAGCCGGAGGGTCTATTTTTCATCCGGTGGTCGTCGCGCCTTCGACGTTCGACGTTTATCCCCACCTCGGACTTCGCCGCCCGAGTGCCGCCGAACCAGGGTCTTCTTGTTTTGGTAGGCTTCGTAGAGCTCAGGACACACGAAGTAGACGCGGCGAGCCCGTTCAGCGGCAATCACCGCGCCAATCCTCAGGGCCCCACGCCACCCGGAGGAGTTCAAAACGGTACACGAGGAATTCGCTGTGGCGACTACGAAGGCCCATGGCTATGCCCAAATTGCATGGCTACGCATGGCTCACTTTAGACTTCTGTTTTTCTACATTGAATTTTTTGGGGTCAAAGCTCACATTTCCTCACCCCAACTTGAGGGAAACCGAATCGTGGTGAAACTTATGTCTATCTGATCCAGTGTTTTTTACACAGTGAAGCACTAAGAGATCCAAGATCGAAAAAAGGAGATGAACAAAGACCTGTTATCGAAGGAGGCCTTTATTCAGGCCTTACCACTTCCTTTCATCATCTCTTTTTCTTTATTGTCCCGCTACTCTGATTGCCAAGAGACCGCTTGGCGGGCAGCGGAGCCTGTAAACAGATTCATCCGCCCCCGAGGGTCATGCCGAATGTTTGGTGGGGAACATATAATAGCGATGGCCTCCAACCTACTAGCGACGGATTATGTATGACAGATCAGAGGTTTTGGAACTTCCTTTTTTGTTGAAACCCTTAGACCCCTTAACAACCGTGCTAAAAAGTCTATTTACAGCGCCCTGAGCACTGCCAGGCTTTCTTTCTCACTGCCATAATACCAAATTCAGCTTCCCAAGATCAGTTTCAGGTGCATATCCTATGACCTATCTTTACAGCCCTACAGGTTGTTGTAGAACAGCTACAGGGTAACGCCTGCGAACATCGAAAAGGACCGACGGCCAACTCATGTTCGCTCACGGCTCACCTGATTGCCCATGTGTTCCCAAGCTTCTCGGCCATCACCATCTGCCATATCTTCCAAAAGATGTTCACCTGCACGTCGATCACCGACATCACGTCGAGAGCGGCCCGGTCGATCGTACCGGGTGATCCCAAGAGATCGCGAGATCGAGCGTCGCGCGGGACACCGCAGCGGTCCGGTCGACTCACCAAAACAATTTACAGCACCGTTGACCCCAGACACGTGGGACAACAACGAAGCATTCCCAAGTCCACTTTTTGAGACATCAACAAGAAGGGAGACAAAGGGAGACAGAAGGGAGACAAGGAAATGCTGCATGGCCAGCGGAAAAGGGCGGACACTAGCAGTGACAGAAAGGGCGGACACATCTTAAGAAAGAAGTGAGAACCCCTAACAGTAAACTGCTTGGGGAAAAACACGAGGAGCGTGGCGCGTGGACACTCGAAAAATAACACTCCGGAAAGTGTTCCCATGACTTCCACGCTGCGGGTATAAGGACTTCTTAACATGTTCATTCGACCTGAGCTTCATTGTTATACTGCGTTTGTACTGCTGCAAGCTATACCGCTGATATTTGCCACCATCAAAGGTCCTGCTCGTACCTCGCAAGTACGTCCATATTCCATATATAATGTATGATAATATCGTGTCAATTGATAAGTACGAGTACATCAACATGTGTGTCAACCTCTGTCCTGTTCGTCCACCCTCCGGAACCGCCCTTTCGCGCGGCGGCGCTCTGCGCGCCGAGCACGCCGAGCGCAGCGCGCCTCCGGGTCCCGGGCGTCCAGGCAACGTGAGATACACCAGGCTGCTGACGCAAAGGCAACACGCCGAGACCGTGTATGGCAAACCTGGGACGACTGAAGACCCCCGACGGAAGGAGGACGGGAGGTGGACTGGAGAATTGGAAAGGAACAGGACACCCAGTGGTGACAGGACTTGGTTGGCGAGCATCAGGCAGAGTCATTCACAGCCAGTTGAAGTGTTAGATAGTTACGTTTCAAAGGCAAGACTTGGTCACTTCTGAAAGCCATGTTGGGTGGATTGAAGGACACTTGTTGAAGAGCCTTTGGGCAACAGGCTTACGCAAGGCTCCTTTGCCATGTTCGGGGCCGAAGGGTCCAATTGAGCACCAAAGGTAGAGGGAGCCTCATGAAAAATTGCTTTTGGACTCCTCTAATCCTGTTTCAAGTGAACCTATTCAAGTTCGGCCATCGTCAAGTGCGGGCAAAGTTGTCCCAAAGTTGTCCCATCTACATGGCAAAGCTTTTTCAAGCATTTGCCCTTTGCAGCCTTGGTTCACCAGATTGTGCCACAAACCCTATCTATCAACATTCAGACCAGCCACAAATTTCTGTGACTCCTACGCTGGCCAAGTGGCCGAAAGAATCCTCATAGATGGCTCCTCCCACCAGTGGTCCCATGGAAAAGCCCAGATTGAGCAGCCCACGTTCCATTCCATAGACGGCGGCCTTTTCGGACAAAAGACATCACAAAGCAGGCGGGCCTTTTCGGCGTTCCATTTCTGATATACCTTGTGAGGCGACCTTCAAGACTTCAAATCCATGACCGGCCAACAAAAGCAGAACTCAAACGCGCAACGAAAAACAGTCCGGATGAAGTCCAGCACCTGATGCTTTTCAGCCACCAATTGCCCGACCAAACTGGTCTTGCTGACCACTTCCACAATGGTGGCAGTGCAACCAAAGAGAGTGGCGTAGAGATATGGTGTCCACCAAGATCGTTCCGTGCTCATGAGCACCTGGGATTTGGGGAGAACAAACGAGAACAAACATGGTATGAAAGAACCAAAATCAGAGACTCAGAGACGTTGCCCTCAGTGGCTGAGCGAACAAGGTCAAGCTCCCAAATTGAAGAGGCAGGGGGGAGATGTATTTCAATCTTGTGTTTTTCGTTTTCCCCAAACTCGATGGAAACTTCGACAGTTGTGACACTTCCACAAACTCTACAGCATGTGAAGACCGTGACTTGAAGAAGCTGCATGTCCATCGTGCAGACCGTGTCAGCTACATTCACTGTGTGAGACCGGCTGACGCCGGCGCGGGGCCCGGTCGGAAAACGCCCAGTGGCCATGGCCGCGGCTGTCGCCATGGACGAGACAGTGCAAAGCACATTGGGCCGGAAGAAACCAATCACATGGGGAGCCAACCAGCCTAGGGGTGACACCACGTTCCGCGTTTTTTCGGGTTTGAACTGTTTTAACGGTGGTTGGCCAATGGGTGGTTGGCCAACGGTCGGCCTCGCCAAATGACATGACTTCAACATCCGGAAAAGGCGATGCATGACCCTAAGACGTCCAACTTCTCTGCTGCTTCCAAGCGTAATAGGTTTGGGGGTGGCTACATGATATATATATATGTATAGTAATGTAAGTAAAGTTACGCCTGTCCAAGTTTATATACAAGAGGATACAAGAGAATAACAAAGATAAGAAAAGGGTGTTTTGGCCACTTCGACAAAGCCCCCCTTCTAATTTGGGCCTTATGAAAGAGGCCCGTCGTTCTTCTCTTCTACTTGGCCTTTAATTCAGCCTTTGAGTTTGGGCTTATACATACTATGAACCAACTTGTTGCTTTCAAGTCTCCCCAAAGCAAGCTCGAAGCAGAGCAGGTCATCATAAACGTGGCCTGCCAGTCTGAGATGGTTTCACTTCCACTCGCTCAATGCCAACGAACCAAATGAAGCAGTGACATTCCGTCTTCAGTGTCTTGGCAGGTTTTAACACGGCTGCGTTGCTCAAAGGAGTGCAATGCAACGCTTTGAAGGAAACCCAGGTCCACCAGAAAAGCCGCTATGACAAGTTAGGCGTGTCGACAAAAAGGAACAAACCACAGGTGCAAGATGGTGAAAGTAAGAATAGGCTTTATAAATCTTTGGACAAAGGCTGTTGATGACTGGGAGGCTCAAATTCCTGGTGATGACCTTGGGTCACCTCCTTCTTTCGCCTGTTGCTGTGCTTCGAAGCCAAAGGTCTGGTGCAGAAAATAGGCTTCTGGGCCATCACTGACTGCCTAAGTTGCAGCTGCAAGATAGCAGGTTGACACCTGTGCATCTGAGATCTGAGGCGACACACTCGACTCCACAAGTCCATCCCCAACGCGTCCTTGCTCCTAGTAGTAAGGCCAGGAGCCCCTAGTAGCGTCCTTGCTCCTAGTAGTACGGCCAAGAGCCCAAATTCTTCTGAGATCTTCTCTCTGAGCACAGGAGCTGATCTGTACCGTGATGTACCGTGTACCGATGGCCGAGAAGGAACCTCACCGTTCTCTTGATGGCCACTCTCCGATGTTTGCCCGGCAAGTTCAATCAAGTGGCCAAAGAAAACGAGTCCTTGGCAGGTCTTGCGCATCAGTAAACCAATCTAAGACTTAAGCAAACACTATAACTCCTGCATATATACTACTACCGGTGTCGGGGCACAAGCTGTGCTCCTTTCAGACTGGCCAGTGAGTCTGTTTCTGTCCATTGACCTTCGGTGCTCAAGTCAATGAGGCGTAGTCAAGTCACTGTCAAGCCTCGAGGCACATTTTCTGGCACATTTCTTGGCAAAAAATGGAAGCCACCCTGGGATTTTGGTCGTAAGAATCTGGGATCTTCCTTTCTTGGAACCGAGGATCGGTGGATCCAGCGATCACGTGTCCTGATCCCAGCAAGTGGTCCTTTCTAATACAACGTACAGCCTGAAATCCGTGGATGGGACCAACATGTTGTGGTGTCAAGCCATGAAAAGCTACACGGCCTTTGAACATCTTTGAACATTTTCTGCTAGCCAACACTTGTACAAGCGACTTGACATGAGTACACACACACAGAGATTCTACCAGGCGATCAGAGTCGCGAGTTGGCTCGCACTGCATCCAAGTCACTAAAAAGCAAACCACCAAGAGAATCGCGGTCGTTCCCTTCAGGAAATGTAGGTCTCAGTCAGAAGGTCGGGCAGTACCTCTCCACTCATCTCCAACTGAGTCGCGGACGTCTGCGCGGTCGTAGGTCATCTGGGACATGCGCAGCAACCTGGCTTGAAAAAGCCGATCAACTCTGACATCGGTGCAAGAGTTGAACGATGTCCGATTTCTTGAAACCGAGCAAAACCGTTCTGGCCTTGTGAAAGGAAGGGGTGGTGAAGAATCGGATACCTGCGCTGAAGAATCGCTTCCTACGTGGTTCGCAGCTGTTTCCGGACACCATGTTTCATGGGCTCAGTTGGTCTCTTGCCGAATGGCGTGGAATCACATAGCCTCTCTTCAAGTCGACTGTGCTTCAACTGGTCCGCTTCATTCTACTGGTCCGCTTCATTCTTCTGGTTGGCTTCATTCGTTTTATTCGTTAAGGTGCGGGTTCTTTACCCAAAAAGGTGTGGATGGAAGAGGTCTCTGATATCGGCTGTGACATGACGACCAAACACAAACAGTTCCGGACGAGCTCTTCTATTCATTTTTGGGCCTCTCTATATCTATGTAGCAACAAAGGCTAGTTGTATCATGTTGTATCTTGATATCTTGTTTGCAACAAAGGAATCTCTGGTATGTGTCAAACGTTCGTTTTGGGCACAGAACGTGAAGGGTGACACTGGACCAAACCTCACAAGACAAACTAACAAGAGTTCGGCGATCTGAACTGTTCAACCATCAAAGGCCAAAGGCCCTGAATCGGGGCGCCATCTTCATCCGTCCGCCGCAACAGACGAAAACAAAGACACTGACCAGCCGCGCTGGGTGCCATCTTTCACACCAAGAAATCAGCAAAAACAAAGAGAAACAGCAACAAATGACCAATGGTGGGTCGAATGCGTCACCATTGGACTTGCTATGACGAGTTTCACCAGATTTCACAAGTGTCACCCTCGAAAATTCGCGGCGCGAAGCCAAGTTCATTGGTGCCTATGAGGAAGTTCAGCATGACCAAAACAGCAATGGCATAACAAAGGTGCTCAAATTCGAAGTGAGTCATGACCTGAGTTTCTCCAGAAGCCCCCCAAGATCCTGATTGTTCGGATACGGTCCAAGCAATCTTTCAAAACACCCTGGCATCAGTGGAGAATCAGTTTTTTTTGTGTCATTTTTCAGCCTGCTCGCAGCAGGGATGAAAGGCCCTGATTCTCCTGCTGGTCAGTCAAAATACGCAACAGAATGGGAAGTCCATCCTTGATGGCTAGGCCATCCTATCTTCCACCTGCCAGCACCTCCTGCAGAATCTCAGCACCTCTTGTAGAATTCATTACTGCAGAAATGACATGGCTGGCAAGAAGGTGCATCATTTTTCAAGCAAGCCACATTGTTATTCAGCCTTGAATAAGGTGCCACCATACCACCAATGGCAGGCCCTAGAAGGCACCCCGCTGATTGTAGTCCTTGAAAGCTCCGACTCCGATGGAGACAATTGGCAACAGGTCCCTGTACATTGCAGTAGCGAGTTGATTGGCACCAACTAAACCAACTATATATATATATATTATAAAAACATGTGTATATATGTAATATATATATAATATTCAAACACATGTTGTCTTCGCTTGATCCAAGCTTCTAGTTTGCAAGTTCACCTTGGATTCGCAAAACACGACCGCCTGACGGCATTTCTGACTGACAATACCACAGGACAAAGAGATTGCAGGGGCATCAAGTTCGGCCCTGGACTAAGATTTCCTTTGAAGCCTCAAGGGCCTTCATTTTGTTCCCAGCCAAGCGACCCAGTCTGCTCGATCTGACTTTGAAGTCAAGTCTGCAACGAAGGCAACTTCCACTGCAGCAGCGCCAGACAGAAATCCCAGAGTGGCTCGTGCCAGCAGCAATTGCAACACGGTTTCCACCCTGGCCATCAACAAGTACCTGGCAAAAGAAGTTGTGACGCTGAAACAATAGCTCCTCGAGTGCTTTTGGAATTCCACCGGTGTACCCTCCACAAAACCTGTGACATCTTTGACACAGTCTCATCCGAGTCTTTTTTCCGAGGCCATTGGAATGGGCCAATTTGGTGATGTCTTGCACAGTTTGTATTGGTAAGTTCAAGATATTGGCCCTTACCAATACAAGCCATACAACAAATACTCGTTCCGATGGCACCTTCTATGGTAAGCGGTGAAGCTCGGTGGGGAAAACGCCCAACGGCAAGCCATGGCAAGCCTCTCTTCCACTGCACAACTCCAAGTGCCATTGATCATCCACGATCCACATTCAAAATTCATGGTCCCTTGGAAGACTACTTTCCTTTACGAACAGGGAGGTTTTCCACTTCCAGAGTAGTGACTCGGAGCGTAACCAGACAAAGCTCTGCTTGCCCTCCAAGACACACCACGGATGTGGCTGCTAGGCCACCGAGAAGAATAGGCTTTCGGCCAACTCGATCTGATAAAATGCCCAAGATCGGGGAGCTGATCAGTTGGCTGGCAGCATATGCAGATGAGATCATGGCATAGTGGAACGCATGACAGCCTCGCAAGATTGGAGAATCACAAGGTTGGCCATGGGCGTCTGGATTGGCCATGGTTGTAACTTGAAACCACACAGAAAATAACAAAACCAGACTTCTAGGCAAAGAAGGGCGGTGTCATGCGGTGTCCGAGCCGCGCACTAGATTTCTCGAACCAAATTTTGGCCAAGTTGAGCCTGTTGCTGAGGCATACGCTTTGATCATTCTCACTTTGGATCCCCTCCATAGTCTACCTCTAGGACTTTCGGATGCCCCTCATGCAGGGCTTCGAGGTTCACTTGTGACCCCCTTAGGCACCCAGGCCGCATGCACTCCATCGGCCCCTTCGCGTTCACTCGATCATCCCCACTCGAAGGGCCGGCGCCTTTGGCCATGGCAAAATACGGCAAGGCCGGCGCGACAATCCATTGCCCGCCTCAGCGTGATCTAGAAATCATTGGCTGCGTCCTCTTGGAGTCTCTTTGCCTTCAAGGTGTGAATTCCAACTTGCTTGGCTGGAAGACATGACAAACGAGAACAGGTCAGGTCACAGAACACACCTTGAGAAGAGCTAGTCAGCTAGTCCACTTGGATCCTCTTAAGCGACGATTAGCTGACAAACATCGGACCGTCGGACAGATTCCAGAAAACATCTTGAGAGCACAACAGCAGCTGCAAGGCATCTTGAGAGCAGAAACTTGTAGCACACCCTTGAAAGCAGTCAGAATACCGGTGGCGTCCCAGAAATGATAGGCCGTCCAACTAAACGGGCCCCGATCTCTTTGGACCTTCGTCCAATGATCAGCATCAAATCGGATGAACTGGAGAACTCGTTGACGCTGACACGAATTAACTGGTTCGAGTTTCCAGAGACACTGGAAAGGGGCCAAAGAAATGGGGCTTCTTTACCTTCGGAACGTGATGCCTTCGTTGACGCACGTCAAGCCATCCTTCAGTTCGGAACACCGGTCTCAAGCCGCCTGACCGGTCCAAGCTTCAAGCCCATACGACGCTGGAACTCACCAGGGCCCACAGCTCGATCTTGGCGGCTCGGTCACTCCGCGACTGTGGCTTCAGCGCAGGTTTCAGCGCTTTGGGAGCCATGGCGAGGCCCGGCCGATGAACTGATGGCGTTTTCGGACGGTTTCTTCGGCTGACGGCGTTGGTGAATTGCAAGGGACCAACTTCATGCCCCTGTTCTGTGTCCCGCATACTGGGATCGCCCCCCAAAAGGGGATACCAAGTAGTCTGTCACTGATTCAAAGATTTGAAGATGCATCTTCAACCGGGAAAACTCTGGACACATCTTCACATTGCCCGGGCCTGGACTCATGCAATATATTGATCCATCTCTCTACTGCGCCGGCAATGAGATTCAGCTGATCTAAGTCTGAGCAATTAGCTTTGGCAGCTGCGCAACCCACTCGAGAAGTAGCACCTACAGTCGGAGTGCCAATGCCAAGGCCCCGCAGAAAGCTCGGAAAACATGAGTAGGCAGGATCCCTACTGTAGAAGCTTCCGAGAAACGCATATAAAACAGGACGAGGAAAGAAGAAGAAGAAGGAGAAGAAGAATAAGAAGAAGAAGCAGAAGCAGGAAGCACAACAAGCCTGGAAGGCAACCCTCCTCCAAGCAGGCAAACTTGGCAACACAAAAATGGAGAGAGACAAGACCTACCTTTCTGTGCTTGAAGCCCAAGCAGCCATAGACGACAAAGAGGGAAAAAGGGCAGACTAAGAGTTGCTTCCTGGGAACCTGAAACCTGCACTACGCGCTGCTCCCTAGAGCTAAAATACATTGACATATCATTGACTTCGCCATAAAGCTCCTACTCTGGTACCGGATCCGGTCCGAATGTGGGCCAGTCGAACGTATTCCAACCGAACTACGGCGCTTTGTTAGAAGGGCCAGGTGAACGGTCGCCGTGCCCCCTGTCACTGAGTGGAGAAGACAAGTGGTCACCAATGTGAAGCACAGAAGCTCAAAGTCGAACAGCGGTGATTCCGGGGCTTCCACACACACACACACACTCACATACGTGTACAAAAGCGGCGGTCAGCTTGCGAAGTTGCGGCTTTCGTAGCAGCACAGTGTGGTCGGTACCATATTGTCATGAAAAACAGCGACAGGCTTCGCCACGACTGCGACTTACTGGGTTGGTGATCGATTGGCTTGGTACTGGTTGGTCATTTTGTCGGTCACTTAGCAGCTGCAGTGTTGGCTTGCTGGTCCTGGGTGTGTGTACCAACCTTCGTGTTTTTCTTGCTATCTTGCCATTTTTTGCTTGCCCTCGCCATCAATAGACTAGAGTCTACTAGAGCAAAAGCGATGCACCATCCTGGCTGCATTATATATACTGCATTCTCACTAAGTACATACCAAAGCAATGGAGTATGTCCTTGAACAAACTCATGTACACGTACCCACACTGATAACACCTCGTAGCACCTCCCCTGCTGCCCGCCATCGGACTTCTTTTGTCAAGTCCACTTCCACTTCCACAGAGTCTGCACATCAGCCTCGGAAGACTTCGTCAGTCTGCAGATGTGGGCTTCTCCGATTTTAGGAAAAGCACCAGGGCCCAGCGAGTGCCTGAAGTAATGGGCTTCGCCTGATGCCAGATCTTGGTATCCATAAACATGCAATCACCTCAGCTGAAAAACCGTCGGCGTCTGCGCAGCGGGCGGCGCTCTTCTTTTAATTCCAAAAGTAGCGCCTTATGGTGCCCACGTCGGAGGGAGAGAGGGAGAGAGAGAGAGAGAGCCAGGACTAATCCAAGACTTCAAACATCTTCAAACGGACATTTACTAGGGGCTGCTCCCTACTAGAAACAAGAAGCTACTCCTGGCTCCTGGCGTCGCTACTACTATATAGTAGGAGCAAATGATCTTCGGAATAACAAACAAAACGGTGAACGTGAGGAGATAAACATGGCGCTCAATCATTTTCCATAAGCCGACACAGATCGCTGCTTCACATTTGCAAAATCCGAGTTTCTTTTTTGTGATATAAACACACAGTACTGGAGCAGTCTCACTTTTTTTAAACCAATCTCCAACTCCAACAGAACGGATCTTGACAAGTCAGTGAAAGCAGGGGACTTTTTGTTGCGAGATTGGACACTCTCGGCTGTTGCATTTCGTTCAACCTGATGTCAAGTCAGCTAAGAGGTCGACCGGGCGCCATTTTGTAAACCAGCTCCTGCTTGGGCTTTCCATCCCAAACATGCAAAGCTCCTCCTTCGAAGGGCTCATCGGTGGGAAGCGCCAAGATCGCCGAACCATCCACGTTGGCTCCATCCTAAGGAAGTCGGAACCAAGGTTCCCCCGAAACGAAATCATCTTGGAAGCGGCACCGACCACCCTTGGATGACAATTTTTCGATCACCAAACAGGCGGCTGTCCACTTCCCTAAGTATTTGTGAGGGGAGTATGCATAGAATTGCATATACACATATATATATATATATAACATGCACAAGAAACGACAAAGAGTCAAAGAGTCCTGCTGACAACACTCCCTGCGACTGCCTGAACCCCATGTTTCTACCCCTTTGTCAAGTAACATGGAGATGATTGATCCAATCACAGCAATCAGAACAATGGCTCCTATGACATACACCAGCCAGCCGGGAACCTTACGTGTTTGCTCCTTCAGAACCAGTTTGGCCGAGTGTCAATGTGCTTCTGCAATTCATCCTCCCCATGCAAAGGCCGATACTTCGTCACAAAGGCGTTCATGACCTCGGATCTTTGAGGTCGAACGATCGAGGTCGACATGTTTACTCATGTTTACTCGACCATGTCCTCAGTGGATTGTGTTCACGCGAGAAAACTCGTGTCCTCAAATCGACGAACGGCGGCCGTGCGCCGTTAGGCCGATGTGGATCGTGGAAAATGCGGCCATCGAACAAAGGTGCCGAACTGGCCAGGAATGGGGATGCGGCCAATTTCTTCTACGAAGCGGGAAAGGCAGGGTTTAGCATGGGGGAGGAGGCTCCATTTAGTGATGGGCCTGCACATCAAGTGCCTTTGTATTTGGGTCCACTTCGTGACACGTCTTTACACCAGCTTTCAACGGACGCGTTTGAAGCGGAAGTTGCGTGAGCAAAGGAACCTGTGAACGTCGTTCCAGTAACGAATGCACCTCACACCAGCTGTCTTCCCCCCCTCCACACCACCTGAGCAAGTCACTGAGAATGGCTTGCTTCCCTGCTTGAAGCCCTTCAGAGTACAGTACCAGCTTTCCTTGTGCGGAGACGCGTTCTTGGTGGATGCAGCATGGAGACGGGCAGCAAGCATCAGCAAGCTAGAAACTCGGACATAGACCCCTCTGCAAACAGGAATGCAGTCAGACTAACGTTTCCATGGTGTGCTTTTCTCTTTGGGACTTCAATACAATTTTTATCCTTGTGCAATGGTCAAAACTTTACCACCCGGTCACCAAACACTGTCCTTTCCTAGTGATAGGTATTAAGATGCATTAAGCAAAACCTAGGCCAGGCTGGCTGAATAGCTGCTTCACAAGCCTTGCATTTCGCTGCTGAGTTTCGAAACTCCTTACACATTCATGCATGATGTCGCCCAAACACTTGAGCATCGGCTCATGTGGCATGATCTTAGGCTTCCAGTTCTCCATCACCACCATATAGCAAGAGATGCGCCAGTTGTCTCCATACCTTGAGTTGCGCCCGTAATCCAAAGGTTGCTGCACATAGCTCGCTTTGATCTCTGGAAAAAGATCCTGCAGTCTCTGAGGGTCAATGACAGCTGGTTTCAATGCGTGAGCCATTGCTCGAGGCCCAGGAGAGCTTGAGCCGTTGGAGACGTCCTTGTGTTTGGCATCATCTTGCAGCAGGCTCAGAAGCGCTTGGGCATCTTGCAGCAAGTTCTCGCTCGGAGACAAGCCCCTTTGAAGCAAGTACCTTCAGCAAGAAGGACACGCAGCTAATAGACAACTTCTCAAACCATCATTTTACTTCTGCTGACAAATCAAAGGGTTGACATTTGTTTCGGGATGATTTTATCAAGGATTATAAAGGTTTCTCTTTTTTTGGGAGTGGGGATTTACTGCTGGGGAGGATCTCGCATAATGTTTCACAATGCTGTGGCACGGGACGTCCCCTGGCTGTGGCTAGGGTGATGGGCGTTTCATCACCACTTTTGCATCTTTATGTAGAATGGGCCTTAACATCCACCATCATGGCACAGTCGCAAAGGGTTCTGTCATCCATCAAACGAGTGACACCAAAGACCAAAAAGCACAACCACAACAAACAAATGAAAAAGCAATAACTTGCCTTGCAAAGAAAAACAACAAACAAGAAACAACATGAACACGGTGCTTGCACATTGCACAACGCACATGAAGAGAAACACGAAACGCAAGAAGCAGAGAAGCGATGTCGAAAAATCAGAAGCCAGCAACAAGAACAGCAAAGAGGCAGAACAGCAAACATGCAGAAAAAGCAAGTTACTCAACTCCTGGCATAATATAAGTAGGAGAAGACATCTTGAAGAGGAGCAGGACAACTCAAAGGCTTCCATTCCCTTTGAAGTCTGTCACACATTGACCCAACTATGAAAGGTCGTCTTTCCATCGCAGCTCCGCTTCGAACAGCTCCCGCCAACGCCTCCGGATCCAAGGGACTTGGAGAGGTTGCGGCGACTGAAGCTGGAAGAACTGGCGTCTGAGACCACCTCGGTGCGGCGGGTGAGGAAGAGCAGCAGGTGTTCTGGCGAGAAGGCAACCAGATCGGGCAACCCAAAGATTACAAATTGGGAAAAGAGAAGAACTACAATGTCTCCCAGTTTGTAATCTTCTACAATCTTCTCTCCATGGTGCCATCCCATGGAACAATAATGGGAAATCATGGGATGGCACCATCATGTTCCCATGATTTTCCATGTTCTTTTTGTACCCAGATCCTCTGGGTTTGAAGGGGCACTCCTCCCCAAATTGGAGCGAGCCGAAACCCACAGCCGGGAACCCTTGGAGGGAGCATTCACTCAGTATGACAACAAATGATAAATGCGATTCACCCGCCCAACCTCAGATCCCAATGCGATACGAACTTATCACCAGGACACCATGGTGATGGCTTTGTTCAGAGCTTTCACCTCTGCAAAGATCTTCGCGATGGCGTTCTCCCGCTGTGCCAATTTGCGCTGCTTGCACCAAGTCAAGAGAAACCATGTCCCACCTAGCGAAAAGAGCCAAGGCAGCCATCCATGGAACGAATCTTTTTGGGAAAGGATGTGGTGTTTTCATCAAGGAAATCCGGGAAGCCAAATTGGGCCCCAGTTGAAGTCTCTGGTGCCTGACCAATTTCGGCTGCTGTGCTGAACTCAAATCTACAAAAACTTCCAGAGTCTCAACCACTTCACTTCGCTTCCTGGTTTCTCTGTTGTTCCAACCCCGTACCTGCAAAGACTGCGACACCAGAGAGGAGCAGCGAGTGGTGCCAAGCACGTTGGCTCAGCATCATCTGCCGAAAAGGGCCCTTCACGTAGGGAGGGGCCGCCGTTCGGCCGCGGAAGCAGATCGAGAAAGAACGAGTACGATGGCCTAGCAATGGCCTCCCACCTAGGAGCGATGGCTCCAACCTAATAGCGAGATGACCGAAGACATAGCTCAAGTTTACGGAACGATCTTTGTATGTTTGAGAAACCTTGCAAAGACTTGGCTCTGAGTGTGGACACAACAAGTTACGGTGCCAAATGATCTGATCTGGCGGCGGTCAAGCAGTTGTCAACCAAAGCGTGACTCTGACAGTATTTATGAAGGAATCCAAGGCTGGTCAGACGGCTTTACACTTCGAGGGTGTCCCTGAAAGCAAAGCTTCAGCATGTCCCTTCACTCCTTTCCCCACAATTGTTGACTCTCTGCCTTGTTCTTTCCTTTCTTTCCTTCCTTCTGTCCGTCCGTCTGTCCGTTCGTCCTGTCCGTCCGTCTCTCTCTCTCACTCCAAACACAGCTGTGCTTTGAGCTTCCTTTTCTGCATAAAACCTCTCAAGTCACAGTGGATCTGCAAAGGCAAAAATAATAGCTGCCCTATTCTTCTGCCTCCTCAACACTTTCTCCCAAGTGCCCCATCTTTCAAAGGTGCCATCAGATGCAGGTATGGAGGGGCGGACAGCATGAGTCCAAAGGTATCGCGCGTTGCCTCCAAAATGATAGACTGCACGGCGCGGCACCAAACAGTCAATGTCATCATCAGTGTAGGAATGCTGTGCGTACTGCCTGTACGAATATTCTTTCCGAGCAAAATAGAAATGATGTCATTCCCAACTACATACGATCATATGGTTTTTTGGTAAAAGAGTCAAGCTACTAGGTGGAGGCCATCGCTAATGGGTTGGAGGCCATCGCTACTAGCAGCAATAAAGCTTTCTAGTAACTAGAAGCTTCCTTGGGCACTAGTAAAAGAGAGAAACAACATGACAAAAGAGTACTGTAAGGTCAGGTGTTTGGGTCCCTTGAATACGGCCCCTTAAAAACAAAGGCGGCCTTACTGGCCCAAAGACCTAGGCAGGTGGTGCACCCCTTCGGCTAAGCCAAACAGGTAAGGGCGCTCGGCGACACTTCGGCTAAGCCACTCATCATCATTGCAACGTTCGGCGTCATGTCTCAAGCTCGCAATGGGCGAAAAGGTGACCACAGCACTGCTGAGCAAAGATAGAACAAAGCTGTTTGGCCCATCCTGCAGGGGGTCGATGTGCGGAACCATCTGATAATCTTCAGATGAGCGGATATTCACCGTGACGTCACGAAGGGGCCCAAGTGGATATCCAGCCAAGGACTTCAGCTTCTTCACCACTCCTGCAGATGCAACACCCCACCAATCGAACGGTACACAAAAGGTTCAAAGAGGACCCTGCAAAGGAATCTGGAAGTTCTCGAAGACTGCACAGAGTAGACTGTACTGTCTCCCAGCCAAAGAGAAGACCGTCTCCCTTTTTCACTTCTTGGAGCCTGTCCTTGGAGTCCACTTGGAAGTTTACCTTCGTCAAAGTCCTTGCCCCAGCCCCATGGCGCCAACGGCAAGCCGGCCTTTCCTTCATCTCGTCCAGTCATACGCCACGACTGGGCGGCGGCGCCATCTTCGGCTGCAAAGTCATAGCCAAAGTTGGAGGCCATCCTCGAATTGGCTGGAGGGACCTAGTGAACATGGGAGAACAACTAATGTTTGATCCCCTGATAACTATACTGTAGTAAATTATGCTATATTACATTGTTCCATATTGTTCCCACTTGTAAACGATCCCCCTGAAGGCAAGGGAAACATCACCCGATCAATGCCAGGCATCTCCACAAGCTCTTGCATAATCTGCTCCTCTTCGTCTGGGGACACCAAATCGGGCTCGACGCGAACCCCGGGATTGTCAGCGGGGCTCACCGTTTGCCCATGCATGTCACGCAAATACATTTCTTCTACAGGACCAAAGGGCCGATACTTTGACCAATGTTGCGGAGCGACCCTGAAGGCATCCTCCCCAACGAGGGTGACATTGACTCCGAGATCTTCTCGCACTCGCGCCTCCCCGTGTGGAGATAGCACAATGGGCTTTGGAAGAGCATACTCACCAATCACTTCGTGAAGCATGCCGATGCCCTTCATTTTGCTGAAGTCCCTTTCGGACGCATCATCTTCATCTCTCACTTCTTCTCTCTTCAAAGTCTCTAAATCACTTCTGGGTGCTGCGAAGGCGATAGGTTTCCAAAGTGCCCACGTGAGTGCGGCAGCTGCGAAGCAGCCAGCCACCTTGTGCTTCAAGTGATTTCGCACCATGGCAATGTGCTCTTCTCTTCAGAATCAATTCTACAGACTCTGAAAGATTGCTTGAGATGGAGAGATGTACAATGTACACTGTCACAATCAATATTCAAGGCAGAAAGAATGTGCTGCAACCGTGCAAGTGCTTGATCTGAAACCATGGATCCTTTGACTCATTCATGATGCCACGTGCACATATTTGAGCCGCCGGTCTACGTCCAAGGGAATGACCAGCGCCAACACCGAGCGGAGCTGATATGAGTGAGAATACTTTCACTTGATATTAATCACAAAACATCCATCTGAGTGTCAAATTTCTGTGCTTTCTGAAGCTTCTCACCTTTTGGAACCCAATCTAAGAGATCATTTCAGTTGGGCATGACATGGATCAAAAACACAGTATATACACCCGTGTCGCCAGAAGGTTCCACCTCACCAGCTGACCTGCAAGATTTGTTTTGTTTTGTTTGTTTGTTTGTTTGTTTGGTTCCAAGACCCAAAGCCTGCGATGCAGGCTGCCAACATTTGGTATGTCTGATTCTTTCAGAATCACCTATGGAGAATATTTGAGGTATACCGTTTGTAGCTCGCAACGCCCCCCATCTTTGTTCCCTTATGTTCCATTCATCTTTTCCGCTGTCCACGACGTTGCCAATGCGATTCTTTCAGCAAAGGCTGGAACACTTCTTTCAGGCTAGGCACCCGCCTGGGCTAGGAGCTTTTAAGGCTTGAACAAACACCGGAGAGGATTTCTCAAACACTTTGTGCCTGTCCATGCCTGTCCTAGTTCTAAAAGAACAAAAACACATCCAGATGGAACCGATATGCATTCTACTCTCTTCAAGTGCCCACATGTCTCTTCAATGCTGCGAGAAAACCTCGCTCAAACAAACGCAGCGGTGCAGGTTCTTCCTGCGCAGGCCGCCCGCGTCTGCGCTGCGAACCGCTGCTTCGGCGGTTCCGCACTCCTTGGTCATGAACGGCACTTTGATGGTCGTGAATTGTGGCCAAAAGGGGAGGGTTCTCCGTTTGGTTGGGCGACTCATTGGGCGGGCCAGGCCAAGCTCTAAATAGGATCGTTGCAAAAGACCTTGAATGGAGTAGGTGTGGCGGGCGAGGATTCACAACACGCCGCTAGATCTATCAAAACGTTCCATACCAACCAAGTGCAAGCCAATCGACATCTGAAGCAGTTTCATCGTGTTAGACTGTCTGGGAATTCTCAAGCACCCTGGCGAACTATACAGCTGACGCAGTGTGCGGTTCAGGAATTGGTGGTTTGACCATTTTCCATACAGGACAGCTGATCCCAAGGGCGCATTCCGCCCTCGTTTTGAGATGAGGTACAGTCCACGCCGAGAGTCCTGACGAGGACATGACATGTCCATCAGCGTGTGTAGTTTGCACGATTCCTTAGATCGGTGGGTGTTGATCGCCGTGCCTCGCTAGTAGTAACAGGTGCCTTACTAGTAGTAACAGGTGGTTCGCTGCTAGGAACAAGTGCCACGCTACTAGGAACAAGTGCCACACTAGTAATAACAAGAAGACAACTGAAGCTTTTTTTCTTTCTCGCAACCCCCAACGGTCCGATCGGGATGGGCAGTGAGTCCTGTGGTGATTTCTCTCTCTCTCTCTCTCTTCTCGTGTATGCCTGCGGTCCCCTCTCGGACCCATATACCATATATACTGTATATCATATGTTCTGATTTGACATAATCTTTGTAGGGACCCCCAGTCCCTCTGAACCTTCCTGGGTTCTTGCATTCCTGAAATTAGCCAGTGTACCACAAGGTGTGTTCGCCCGTGTATTTGCCCCCCTCTCTTGTGCATGATACGGGAATCTAATTCTCACCATTCCTGGTTTAACCTTCCTGATGGTTCCACAGGCTGGTGCACCTGATTCTTGTGCTGCCAAACACATGTTTGTTCCACTAACCTAACCAGCCATGCCTTCTTACATGCCCTCGAAATCTTGAACCAAGAACCGCAGGCGAAATCCGAGCAGTCCGACTGCATTGTTTCTTTTGCTGTTTCGCTGTGGCTTCCCCGGTCCGGCATACGGCCTTCCCCCGAACATCGGTTTGTTTTCGCCCAGCAGCTCAGGCTGCATCGGCCTGGGCGGCACCTCAGGGGGTGTTGAACCGGGAGGGGGTCGGCCGGAACGGTAGTTGACCCCGGGTCACATGAACTGATCACTTTAGGGATGACCATTGTTTGGTGGGGAGAGGTTTTGACACACCAACTATCCGCCAAACATGCTTTGACTGAAAAGTAAGCCGACATGTATAGATTGGTTCCACGAGTCATCCTCTGAGATCGCGCACATGTGCAAGAAGGGAAGCAACATCATCTTGATATCTTAAAGATTTCTGGGACCCCTGAAAGAAAGGCCGAATCATGTTTCCCTTAGGCACCAGGAAGAACATAGCCGAATCTCACAGAGGGCACGCCGGGCACGCAAGACGGATGCAGGACGCAAAGACGCTCGGGTTTCACCATGTTTCACCATGTTTCACCCTGTTTCGCACAGTTCGTGCCTTGAGGTCATAGAAAAAGTCTTGGTGTGCAGGTGTGGAGGCCATCGCTAGTAGGTTGGAGGCCATCGCTAGTAGGTTGGAGGCCATCGCTCTTAGGTTGGATGCCATTGCTATCACTTTCCTTTTGCTATTAATTATTAGCAAAACATCCTCACCCAAGCTTTAGGGGTTGAGACCTGTCAAAGTCGGCCTGGCTGGCCTGGCTGGCCAGGCTGGCCATGTGAGTGGTATGTTGCAAGTGACACGCTTCCTACACGCTTCCTAGAACTCTGGGGGCACCGTTTTGGAGCCGTCTTGAGCATGCTGAGACTCGAATTGAACGGCAGTTTGAACAACTATTGTCTGATCCAGGTTTGGTATCCTTTGCCTACCGAGGACAAGGTCTTTTACTCTTCAAGTCTGTTCCAACGCTTCAGCAATCTCTCTTCCAACTTCCTACGTCCGCCCTTCTTCCCATGTCCGGCTCACAGCTTTCCAAGTCACTGGTTCCAGCAACCCACAAAGCTGATCTAGCTTTTGATTAAGTACCTCACCCAGGTTCTTGATTCGTGCCCACAGCAAAAGATTGTGGAGGATGTCTTATTCAAAAAAATGATACAGTACATGTATGTTTGATTCAACAGCCAAGAGACAAGTTGAAGACTCATGACCTCACAGGTTTTTTCTCTAAAACAGCTTGCCTCGACTGAACTTTGCAGTCTTCCGATGACCTGCCAAGGCGACATACATGTGAGAAAATCTGGCATCGATAGTGCTGCATAACATTAGGACATCCATAGACAGTGCGAGTCAAAAAGGTTCAACAACCATCTGCTAGTGTCGAGTCGAGGAGGGCTCGAATAACTCATTCATAGACACATCCATATTTGTAATACACTTTGTAATGCTTGATACAAAGAACCTCCTGTCCATCACCAGCCACTCACTTGACTCAATGATCGTGGCACCTCTCCATGCATTGCCGAGGTCTGCTGCAATTCCTTGATCTTGCACTGACCTTGCGAAATCTTTCCATCTCAAGTGAGCGGGTCTCCCTTTGCGTTCTGGGATGGATTCTCATTGTGTGCGGTCTTGAAATGGAGCTCATGCAGGTACCATTGATCATAAACATGGAATCTGGCCACCTGCAGCATTTGCAATGGCGGTGTCTTGAAAAAAGAAACAGCCAGCTACTGTTCTCATCAACAGGCGGAGAAGGACACGAATGCCGCCTGAACCAAAGGAAAAAACAAATATCAGCCTGAATCGGCAGTCTCCTTCTGAGGCTTTTCATTTCTTTTCTACACCTGTCAGTACAGCCTTTTTGCAGCAGCACTTAAAGACCTTAATCATTAATCCATCCAGCCAAGTGACTTTCCAGGTGGCAGTCCTTCAAAGAAGCAAATAAAACAACTCCGCTTGGATTCCATGGACTTGACGCTCGAAGCATCGACTTTTGCACCACGACGCATCCCCAATGGTTCGGGTCTCGCCCTTAGGACGCAACGTCCCTCAACGGGAGCATCGCAGAATTCCTCGTTCACACCCAGTCGTTCACAGGCTCCCTTCCTTGGCTAATGAATTCTGGGGGTTTGAAAAAACTTTGAAGAGACCCACAGACCGCACCAATATAGAGTAATTACAAACGGGGAGGAAACACCCCCAGCATCAAGCATCAGTCTACAGTACGCAGTCCTTCAGGGGGTGTTCCAGTCCTGGTGTGTTCTTACTCCGAGATGGTGTTCTAGTTCCTGTCCTCCACTGCCTGTCTCATCATTTCCAGCTGCTCTTCCAGGATCTGTGAGTGCCTTCGTTACACGAGCACGGTCAATCGGGCCAGTCCATCGAGCACGGTCGGATGACACGGTCGGCGACCCTTCGAGCCGCCACGTGGGGATCCGGTCTTTTCACGTTTCACGTCTCGCACAAACATCACCGCAACATGCCATGAATGTTGTCAACTAATCTCAATGATACAGGTATCGCCGATAGTTGTTTTGGCTCCCCATGCCCCCGCGGCCTCACACTTTGGCTTCGGGTCTCCAAATGAAGAGCTTCAAGCCTGCATCCGGAAACGATCAGGAGCCAACATCGTGGGTGTGGCTCATAGCGCCAAAGGACACCCCAATAAACCACATTGATACTCTTGGCAACCAAGAGAATTTGATGGGGAACACACTTACACAAATGTGCGCATCCTGCTTCAGCCTGCTTCCATCTTTCCTTTGCAATCTTTCACAAATTCTAGAGCTAGCAATGCTGGGTTTCTAGCCAGCTTTCTCGACCTTGTCGAAAGATTCGGGCGCCACTCCGTTCGTACCTCATTGTGGACTTTTCTGTCACAGGATTGCCGACCTCAGCTGCAGAACAAGCGGGATTTTTGTCGGGTCATTCTTAAAAAGAGCGCTTGGATTGCAGCACGAAAACACCAGCCCAAACCGGGCTTAAGGACGATCTTAAAGAACATATTAAGCTGACACCACATCCAAGACAATTGAAGGGTACGGTATAGATCTGTCTTGCTTATCAGGGTGTCAACCTCAGAAGTCACTCAACCTGGACTCCTGGCTTGTTTCATGTGTGCAAAGTCCGCAGTCATCCTTCCAAAAGCAAGGCATGGTGCCGCAGAACGCGACGACCGGTGGAGGGATGCTTAGGGGTTCGGTTAGACGCGAAAACAGTGCAGCATGAGGTGTTGCAATCCACATGCGGGGGTTTTGTTATGTTTTATTCATCTGATTACACTCTGACTCACTAATGTGGAAGTGGAAAAACGGTCCCTTGGAAGTCTACTTTCCTTACAAACATGGGATGCCATCCACTTCCAGAGGTGACGTGTTTGTCGGAGTGTAATCCTATGAGTCTACACAGTTGGCTCCAAAACCCCCCAACTTGCCAGGGTGAGACAGCCAGGGCGGCAACTGACATGACGAACGCTAAGTCTTCGACATCCAGCAAGCACTCGACAAACTCTTCCTGGGCATGACAAACCGTGTCTACAGTGTCGACTTGTTTCTGTTTCCATGTTCAAACAAAAATGGATAAAGACATCCTGCAAAAAATCTGCAACATATTTTGCAACAGCTCAGAAAGTTCCTACAAGTAGCACCCGCAAGAAAAGTATTCTTCCAACACGATGGACAGGATCCAACGATCACCCCGGATCACCTGGGACCATATCACGCTTGCGCCAGCATCTACGAAATCCTGATTTTCAAGCACTCCTTTTCAGGACCCGAGACTCGACACCGGATCCTGCCGGAATCCCAAACCCCATCAAACTTTCAAGGCTTGGAGCGCCCGGCGCCCCCCCCCAATTTTCACGGCCACGGTCTCCGTTCTCGTTTGACCTCGACAGTTTTCTGGTCGTATCTGAAGCAGACCAGCTTCCATGTGTATGACCTCGGAGTTGATGGCCAAGGTCTTCATGACCTGCGACCGATGACCACCGCGACGACCGCACGGAAATGGCCCGGGACCCCGTTGGTCCGTTCCGAAGCGAGCTCCGAGGGATGGGAGGTCGAACCTCTTGGACGTATCGGACAGGTACTCGACACATCTTGGCGGTCCTAGGAACACGAGGAACGCCAGCAACTTTAGACAATAACAATATTGTAGAAGCACAGATCGCTACAATATTGTTATTGTCACGAGGAACGCATCTCAGTGTGTTATGCAGAAGGACACAAACAATATTGTAATGCTACAACTTACCACTTAAGACTTACGACAGATCGTGTGTATCCTTCTGCATAACACACTGACATACACATAGAAATAACGATGTTGGCTTCGTAAAAGAGAGCCTCGCACTTCCTTGCTCATGAAATAGGAAGTACCCAAAGACCAGCTGAACATGTAGCAGTGCAGGCAAAAGTTTGAGATTGAAGGTCCGGATATATTCTTGCAGCCAAGTATCTGCTGTGCATTCTGAGTATTTTGCAGAAAGCGAGTCAAATCACGTTCGCGAACTATGCCGTCCTGGACATCAAAGCAAACCGCCTGCTAGACGCCAAAGGCGTTGGCTCGCCCAAAGGGATGTTGCCCACCATTTGTTTGGGCGAGTTTATGCAACTGGTGAATATCGAAAAGGTTCACTTCTTGCGGCCATGGCATACCAGTTGGATCCAGTTGGAGTCATGGCAGGTTAGTCCATCAACCTTCTAACAACACAACCTTCATCATCCATGCGAACCGAAGGACATGTTCGCTGATCTCATGCCAAGCAGCGCCCGTCGTGTTGATTTCTTGGAAAAGTTCTTTGAGGTCTTGTATATGTCGCTTCCTCGGTGCTGAGATGCCTTCCAAAATGGATCTAGGTGGAATCTCAACCAATGGGATTACACAATCGCCACAAGAATTCTCAGAAGCTGAGATGTAGTAGCAATGAACCTCTCAGACTGCCCTGTTTCTTGTTTTTTTTGGGGGGAAGGGGAGACCCTTGGAGACCTCGCAAATCTGACATCCAAATGATGACATCAAACTGCCAGTCTCACATGAATAGGACTGGGGCAAATGCATTGTCACACGACTGCAAAACTCACCAATCGTAAGCCACAGTTTCCTGTCTTCTTCTTCAGACATTAGCTGTATTTCCTGTTGCGATGTGACGGTGGCGATGCCAGCAGTTTGTACTGCAACGATGATGCTGAAGTGTGCACAACAGCACAAAGAGTTAGGGCAAAGTGTGCAAGTTGAAAAAGGGCCTATCGGGCCTATCTGGGATGGATGTGGATCGTCTGACAACGTGATTCGGGAATGCTTTGAAGTACAGTACAAGTATCATCACTCTAGACTCTAGACCAAAACCAACAACACAGCATGCTCTGCAGGCCAAACTTTGAAGACATGCCACAGCCTGGTGATACCACTACTTGAACTACCATCCAGGACCCTCCTTAACCTCGATCAGCTGTAAGCTAAAGCCCACTGCCAAAAACAATTAATAAAAATATATTATACATTCAAGTAAATCTTACTTCCCACCTTGTAACACATGGAACAGAACCTAAGAAATGGGGACCCAGCATCAGGAATCTCATCGCATCGACTCCCGATTGTTTGGAGCCTTCTCTTGGACGGAAGTTGTTGAGATCATGTTCTCGCTGACCTTAGGCCAGATCCAATAAATGCAATGCAATCTGCACGACAACATGTCATGTGCACCACAGCCGAACTTGGCCAACATCTCAAGGAGGGAGGAGCACAACTACTTGATGTCTGGCCAATGACACTTCTTTAAACATGCTTGTGAACACTCAGATTTCGAACCTACCGTTTGACAAATAGCATCAACTAGCAATCAGCTGGTTTGTTACAGCTTGTTCGCAAGTAAAGTAGGGTGCAACATGGTGCAACCCTCCAATATTGATTGCAGCGATATACTGTCACAGTCTCTGGGTTGAAGTAAAGCAAAAGTCCAAGGTTGCTCTCCCACTGTCGAAGCGACGCCGAACTGAATCGACTCGAAACAGCATGACATCCTGAAGCAGTCATGCCTACAGAAGTGTACAGTGTACAGTATATCCGTTCGAGTTCGAGAGGTCTAAACCTTTCCAGAATTCTCCGAGTCGCAACTGCCGTGAGGATTGACAGCAACGTCCACGAACTTGTCACCATGAAAAAAACAAAGGCGAACTTGAAGGTGGGGATGTTGTCCATAATGCCTGGCCAACGAACCGCGACTTCGCGATCAGAACAATGCAAATGTATCCCAAATCCCAAATCTGCTGTACTCTGCAAAGATCTTTTTGAACCTTCTTGCTATCAAAACATGAAACAATACAGAGACACTCCTGCCAGGCAGCGAATGGCAGGGAAGTTCACAGCTAGACTTCAGAACATTCAGAACCAACAATTTCTGGTTGACTTCACTTCTGTCCAAGGCACTGTCCAAGGCCTCTGATTCTCCATCCGATTGAGCGCCACTCATCACTCGAAAGAGAGTGAACATCGAATCTGGCACCTCAACATGTGGCACGAGTCCACGTGGAACAAGCTGTACGTGCCGTGCCGCGGTCTTCGGATGCGCGCGGTGCACGCGCGTAGTGCTGTGTTCTGTTCCTGGCTCTGAGGATGTGGCAGTTTTAAATGGTGAGATCAGCGCTTCATCAACTGCCTGGACACAAACAAAGCAGGGCCAGCAGAATCTTGTCTAGCAGCCTAACTGAGGGCTTCATCTTGACCCAATCATCAACCGGTTCAATCGTCTCCAGCATCCTTTAAGGTCTCCTTTTCGGTCTCCTGAGCTCCCATCGTCTCCTCACCCAAAACCTCCCGAACCGTCCGAACCGTGGCACAAAATCTAAAAGGATCACAGGACCAGCCTGGTCAGAGTCGAAGATCATCTTATGGCCAATCAGCCGGGTGGTGAGAATCCCCATCGCGTATAACGTCACCTGAGAGAGTTCAACGTCACCTCCCACGCTCCACCCGTGAGGCCGTGAGGGTACTGGGGGCCAGTCTCTGAGTCTCTGGAGGCGATTGGTTTGGGATCGAAAGAAGAGATGACATCATAGAAAATCATGTCATGTTCTATGTATTGGTATAATCATCATCATTTAAGATCATCGTCATTGATTCTGCATGTATTGGTATAGAAGTGCAGAATCTTCAATGAATGGCTGGGAGTCGCCTAAGCCCAGTCTCCGCTTCTTTATGTTTGGCAACCTATCATCTTCAAGTAACCCACTTCCGGTGAAGCTGGGTGCCTATCTGTCTTTGTTCCACCAACGTTGGTGCCCACGTGGTAAAAACCCGCTCCACGTGGTCATGGCGTAATCATTTGCAAACGAGCCACGACCGTGAGGACCAAGACCCAAACTACCCCTTGCACTGCAGCGGTCACCTTGGGCCACCGGCGGCGCGATGGCCGAGGCGGGCCGAGGCGGTGTCGAGGTCCACAGGCACACAGAAGGGAAACACATCACAGGAAGCTACTAGATGCTACTAGTAACAAGTGCATCGCTATTAGTAGCTAGAAGCTACTATGGATTGATAGAACCGCCATTTTATATCAGTATCACCTCTCCTACTCCCACTCAGCTCAGCATCACCCAACTCATCACTGAGCACCAAACGCTGACCACCAAAATATACAAAGGCCGCACTGATTTCACCAACCTCGAATCCAAATCGAGCAACTGCTGTGCCAGCAAATCACAGCCACAAAACAAAGCACTTTTTCGTTATGCTACAGGAAAGTCATTGTGTTGGGTTTTGATTCGAGATTCACATAAGTATGTAATTATATATATAAATATTATTCTTATGACTATATTATCTAGCATCCATGATGATCTGTGAATTTGATGAAACAACGACCCAAGCAGGGGAGACCGACCACAGATTTGGACTGATCAGCCACCCGTATCAACCTCCGGAGGATTGACTCATGAGACACCTACGACACCGTTGTGGACCTACCGAAAACCAAAAAAGAAACGAGGGATGATGATCATGGTTTTTGTACTCGTTGTGTTTTTAGTGCCTCAATTTCGGTGCGACATCCTGTTTCGTGTCAAAGCACTTCGCGAGCCGCAAGATCCGGAGCAATCGCAAGAGCCGCATCCTCAGCCATCGCGGCGGTGAGAGGCTCCGACCACGAAAAACGTGGTCCGCTCGACGATGGGATGCGAAGCGGTTGATCTCGGTCTCCCGGCAGCATCATGAGTTGTCCCACGTTGACGCCGTGCGCTTTGGCCTTGTGCCCCTCTTCCGAACTACCTAAGAAAAGCAGGGAATGAAGGGGAATGACTTCTAGACTCCTAATGACTCTCATATGATCTATGCAGTCATGACTCAACTCAGAAGGATTCAGGAACACCATGATCACGCGTTGTTTGCATCGCTACATGCTTGCGCTGGTATTCTGCATACTAACCCCATTTTAGGTGAAACCCTTCAATCAGCAGAGCCATCCAAGCCTTTCTAGATTCTAGATTGTTGGCATGCTTTCTAATGTCAGCCCGCGGGAGTCTTGCTCCCAAAAGTTCTGTGAAACTAACTAACCTATTATTACCTGAGACATCTTAGCCGTTTGTGACATGTGGCATGCCACCCACCGCCTATGATCTGAGCCCAAATTAAAGTTTAGCCCGGGTTTCAAATTCAGCCCGCAAAGTGCTGCGTGCCTTTTTTTTGGGGGGGTAAACTCGGGCTCTGAAATGCTTGGCTGTAAAATCCGTCGGGAGGCCGACCGTTGGATGATTCGAGGGTGTACTTAGTCTTACTTTAGTGCAATGAACTAATGCAGAATCCAAGCTGCTTGGAGAGCCTTGGAATGATTTCCTGGCAGGACTGTCGCAATAACATATGTGGACAATGGCCGCGGAAGCCAACAGATTTCAATGTCTTTCTCTTTTCAACATGGCGCTCTGTGGCATGTGAACAAATAAACAATATGACACACACGGGATGGTGTGTCCATCCGCAGCCCCACAGGGAGGAGATGCAACTTTGTCTTCCAAATCCACCAAATGCATCTGTTCAAAGTTTCTTTGCAGATCATGTACACCTCATTTGGTAGGTCCATCCAAGAAAGACACTCTTCGTAGGTCGATCCCTGGTTTCTGTATCTTTCCTTCACTCCAAGATCCCGACCTTGCCACGTTGATGAGGGGCACAAGCCAAGAATCCCCCTGGGATTCGCGATCGTGTCTGGATCATGTCTGGTTGTTGTGTCCGGTTTCCCATGGAGAAGGCCCTGCAAGCAGATGCCCCAACCAACGAAATCTAGGTCAAACCTTTTGAACATCATTGACAAAAGGGTTCATCAGATCATCACTCTTTCATCTCTTTCCTTCTTTGATTATATACATTGAACAAACTCAGAACATATGGTATCCATACTGTTTTGATGAAACCATGATACAACACGAGAAAATCCTGACACGCGCCATTCTGGTTCCCTTGACTTTTGCTTCCCCCATTCTGTTTCACCCACCGGTGGGGTTTTCTGGACCGGTCTCGTTCGGGGTCGGACCGAGGCCGTCGGATCTGCGGGGCAACCGCAGAACGGTCAGACCACGCTCGGTCTGGATGTCCGGTTTGAGTCGGTTGGAGCTACTGCTTACAACGTTCCTTTTTTTGGTATTGTTTTCATTGTTGCTATTGTTTTCATTGATCCTGTCAGCTTTTAAAGATTCTGCCTCCGGCTTTGCTGGAAAGGCATCATACTCAACGGAGTAGAGTCAAATCCGCAACGGGATCGGATCCAATTTGGGTCAAAGCTACAGCGGAGCTGAGCACAATCGCCAAGTCCAACAAGTTCCAAACCTCAAGTTCCGAGGTGACGCTTCGCGTCATCGAGTGGTCCGCTTCCACGTGGAGACTCCGATGCATCGGACCGTGGACCGGACCCGGGTGGTCCCTTTCACCGTTTGAACCAGGCCCAATTGGCCAGGGGTTGGAAAAGCCACGTCCATGGGGAATCCTCCGAGCAGGACCGGGATCACGTGTGAGCAGGACCGCTGCCCAGCATGAGAAGCCTGTTCAACTGTAGAAAAAGGATGAACACGGGGACAAAGGTTTGCATGGGTTTGCACTCTTTCTGGATGTGGAAGCTGTGATGAGTCCAAGTGACAATATCTGGGCTCTCGCAGGAGAAGAACTCTCTCCCCAGACGCTTCAAGCGTACCACCAGTTCGAAGACATAGATACCTTGGTGCAGGAAAAATGGTCAGTTAATGTCAGTTATAGCTTGGGTTTCATGTGCAGATATGACTCTAGTGCCCACAGGATTCTTCGATTCTTCCTTCCAATAGGCAGCCTCTTTTTTTTTCGGCAGGCCAGCGGGAGAGCAGGTTAAAATCGTCTTGCACAGCTTTCTCCATGAAATCTTGTGTTTAAAGGCCGCGACCACGCCATGCCACAGGACTGGTCTGTAATTCAACCTTTTTGGGATAAGGCTTGACCTACAGCCGCTCGAGCCAGGCATCTCTTCACGGTTTTCAAGCCAAAGGGCATAACAATCCATTCTCGAAGACCAGCCAGCCTCCCCAGTCGATATCGGTTTCACAGCCCATCAGCAAGGCATTCACGGCGATCACGCCACCTGCTGGAATGGGGTACAGGGCGGATGCCCATTATGTGCAGGGTTCTGTGCCAAACAACATCAAACAAGTAAGCTTTGCACCGATAAAGGACTGGAAGCCAGCTCCTTCTGTCCAGGACAGGTCCCATTCTAACCTCAGTGGTTCAAGTGTTCTGCGTGTGTTCATTTATCTGCATGTTAGGCACAAAGTCTAGCTATGGCCATCCTCAATAGGTGAATGAAACTGCATCCCCACAACATTGACACATGCTGCGCCAATGTGTTATCTCTGCAATACTAGTCTCCTCATTAGTTGCCAAACAGCTACAGTACTTTTTTTTTAAAAAAATCTGCAGTTGTATGGAGATGACCTATATAATCTATGAAACAGACTGCGCCTTTGGGCAAGTTTGTGAGGAACTTATCGCAGTCATGCCGGGGCAACACTTCATCAATCCAGGCACCTTTAATATCTTCGTTTATTGGTTTCACTTGAACATGCTGATTTCATCTGAAACGCAGCACAGTACCACTCCGCTTACAGAGTGTGAGGACCGGACATGAAGGCGATGACTTTCACCACCCGCACCAGCCGCATCAAGCGAATGACTCCCAGGATATTGGACGCGCTCTCCGTGCTAACCTCTTGGATGTGCTGAGTCGCCGTGTGAACGAGATCGACGAACGAATGACATGCACCAGCTTCCGGACATGCACAAAAACACCAGTGAATGTGCCCGCCGCAAACGAGCACAAGGAGGCATCAAGAAACAACATGGAAACAACGATAAACATGTTCTCAATTGGCCACGCTAGCCGTTCCAGCGGCAGCAAAGCAGGAATATAACTTCAGTCAAAGGGCTGGCAAATAGGGAGCAAGGTATTGGAAAAGCCATTGATCCAGGACCTCACATCATGTGCTTTGATGCTCCTATGCTGAAGCTGGGGTACAGAACACACTTTGCAGGCAGTTGCGGGACACACTGGCTGTATATATTCAGCTGAGCTTTAAATATGACTCTCAAGCACAACAACAAACTGTAAATGGCCGCAATTCACAAGCTTGAAAAGAAGCAGCAACTCTAAGCTTTCTTAAATTGTAACTAAATCAACTACTCTCTTGCATCGATAAACTGCATTCCATTATGGTCCATACACACCACCATCAGCTTCTTTCTGCAAGTGGCTCCAGCACACACCACGATGATGTCGATGAGGCTCCACATGGCCAGTGAGCGCGTGCCACACAGAAGTCGTTTTCCCCAGAAACACGAGCGACCTGAGGTCCGCGCCCCTCCGTTGGACCCACGGGTCAAAGGCGAACCCCGGGTCCGGCGACGTCCAGCGGGTCAAAGGCCAAGCAGCAAAGAAGTTCCAGCACGTAGAAGATCAAACATGCTTGATCCACCCAATACCTGCAGAGATGTTCTATGATGTTGTCTTCACTAAATGTGTTTTTCGAGATTTTTTGTCATCTCTTCTTTCGTTCATACTTCATAATCTTTAAGTAGGACCATGTTCTGTCATTCCTGCGGGGTTGTCCAGCTTTGTCCTTTCATTTTCACGAGGCACCAGGCACGCAGCCACAGCAGGAAACAAACTAGTAATCTAATCTAATCCAAGCCACAGCTTCGCAAGCAACTCCTCTCAAAGTTGAACGCGAACATTTCGTTTGAAACAATCAAGATTCCTTTCTATACTTCATCTGGTTTCTTTCTAAGCCTTGTCAATCTTGGACTCCAAACACTTTGCGAGTTTTTTTGGGAATGTTGAAGCAACTATCAAATGCTGTTTCATGCGTCGTTCCAGCCAATGCGTCGAAGAACCCCCTCCGCATCGTTCCGTCTTGACCCTGTCTGAAGAGACCCCTCTCCTCCGACGTCGAGTCGGCCTCAAGGACGATGCTCACAGTATTGCTGCAAATCACCGAAGCTGCCAGGAGGTGAAACCACCAGGATTCCACGAAGTAAAACATGGACCTGGCCGATGGAAGAAGCGGGAAAAACATGGAAAAAACATGGAAAGCCGAGTGAATTGCACACAAGGTGGTCTTGAGAATTGTCATCGAATACATGTGAATGACAACAAGCATGAACAAATTCAGCCTTGACTCCCGGAATCATCATTGCTCTCCGGCCAATCCAATGGGTTTTCATGTGTTTTGATCATTCATTTGTTTACATTGTGCATCCATTCCCAAGGGTCTTTGTGGGCCGGCCCGAATTTCTTCCCGCATCATTTTGGACAAGGCGGCTTCTTGTCCATGGGGGAGATCAGGTCCTCTTCCTCATCATCCCCATCCACTTTGAGAAAGTTCTCGTTGATGCCACCGTCGGATTTGAGGTAAAATCCTCACACATCCAGCCGCGTGTTTGACACATGGTGTTTGACACACGACACATAGCCAATGGACATAAATGGACTGTGATTTCTCATGTCTTTCATGGGGAATTCACACGTACCCCTTCCATATCGTCAAGGCTCTGTCGCTATGCCAAGGTGAATCACATTCAGTATCCGCTTCACTGAAGCGGCTGTCATGAAGTGGCACTTTTTGATAGCCTCCATGCCGTGCATCGGGCATCATGTTAAGAGCATGTTCACGAAAATTGGCACCCAACTGGAACATGCTCTTTCTGTTTCCAGAGATCCGCCTTCGTCAATCTTGTTGGAATGAGGGGACTAGTAGCTTAAAGTCAAAAGACTGAACAGCAGAACCACAGTGCCGGCTTGCCCTGTCATCCAAGCTGTGACTCGACAGGATACACTTTTTCAATCCTTTTCAATCATCAACACTCAATCCAGAAAAAAAAGAAACAAACCAAACCCTATAAACTATAAACAGTGTTAAAGACACACCCAACTACAAATCCTCTCGCCCCTTTGCTTTTCTTCCGTCAAAAACACAACAAAAACACGTCCGCTCGTTTGGCGTGGTCACCATGATGGATGGATGGAATGGTCATCTCGAAGCACCGAGCAAATCACGGCCATGGCAAGAAGCACATGCCAAAAAACTTCTGGAGCCGATGCCAAAGCACATTGTTTCACAAAATGGCTTTACTGCCAATCAGGATTTGAGATAACATTGGTCTTGGCTCCACATCAAATCAAATCAAATCCAAACCTTCGACAAGAACCGTGGCCTTTCTCTGGCCGTGCGACACAAAAACAATTGAAAAACACCTATCGCGTGGGCATTTATTTGGTTTTTAAATTCTTCACTCAGGACCGTGTTTTAAATCCAAACAAATCATTGTAAATTGTAAACGGTGTCGCCCACAGAGGTTGTGATCCCACTCAACTTTTTGGTCCGCAACGGTCAGCTATCGCAACGGTCTACGCTGGGCCAGCTTCTTTTGGCCTAAAGAGGCCACTGCTGCGAGTCCGGCTGTTGGCGCCGGCGGACTTTCTCAGGAGCTGAGCCGATGACACTAGCTCCAAGCCTCGGTTCTGATCCAAGAGAAAGACAAAAATGGTATGGGGGAAAAACTTATGTTCAACATTCAGGTATAAAAATGAACGAAAAAAATTAATATATAGATCGATCCTTTCATGATTCGTAGCTTCGCATTTACGAAAAAAAACCCTCACATACCTCCGGAAAAGACCATGCTCTGGGCTTCGTTCGGCTCTTGGCCCCTTCAGGGACCCTGAGCTGCTCACGGTCGGTGGCTCGCGGCTCCCCTCACGGTCGGTGAGCAAAACGGCCGAAATGAAGGTCTCCAAGTAACACCGAATGAACACAGCTTCCTTATACTTAGTGGTTTGATTTTGAAAGCAACGAAGCCGTAGGAAGCCGTGGCAAATTCAAGGCGACGAAACAAGCAGAATACACCAACAGATTGTTCAGACTTGACCTTACCGATATCACAAAGAAAAGGCAGGATGCACTCTTGTAACAGAATTGGCCGTCTAGCTGCAAAAGTATGAATAACATTAAATAACTCAACACTGTTTGACACCTGTTGGATTTTCAACTTTCGATCCTGTCTGATTTACGAGAATCCCGACTACCTACAAACATCGTAGTCAAACAGAAGACACGCGTGTGTACATACATATATGATATATGTATATATAGAAATACTGTTTGCACGTCATGTAGATATTATGTAATATAATACTGTAATATATATATATATTAATAAACATATATATAATATATATATATATGAGGGACGGTCAACACTCCTTATTCTTCGTGAACAAAAAAATGGACGTCATCGGTTTTGAGGTGGACCTTATCGTTTTGCAGGGTTTTGTGCACAAACCTACCCCTCTTTACTAAAGTGGTCTTCGCATGTTTTGACCGTGGCTCATATATATATATATATCGTAAAACACAATGTCTGTCGGATGCTTTGTTGCCGGTAGGCTCTTCCCAGCTCGCCTCGCGAGGATCTCTCTGTCTCTGTAAGTCCTCCGCCCACAAAGCATCCTTCAGTCGTTCACATGTCGGTGGAGGCGTGTTTTCTTTCGGAGGCCATCGCTAGTAGGTTGGAGGCCGTCTCCAGTCGTTTCTGCTCGACGCCCGATTCCCGGGAGCAAATCCACACGAAGCTGGTTCAGGGATGTTCAGGGGGCCGAAGTGTTCGCTTATACATCCGAGATCACGCGACAAATCCAAGGAGACCGGAGGTCAAAAAAGGAATCATGTTGCATGTCCACGCTCAGCCATTGGAGTCACCCTGGCCTCATCCTCATCCTCTTCGCTCTCATCGGGCTCATTCCACCAGTCCTGGTCCTGAAGCTTGGGCCGGCCAAGGTTCCTCGTGTGTTTGGAACAAGTTCCTCCTTGCGATTTGTCTATGCCTGCATTGTTTCTTGAAACAAGAGCTGTTGACCTGCTCAAAAAATGAACTGCGGTGCTTGTTGCGATTCTTTTCAGCTTCATTCCGCTTCTAGCCATCTTGATGAAGGGACCAAGGGAGGGTGGAGGGCTTGCCCATTTACTTCTCTCACCCTTGCACACGCACTCGTCGCGCGTGTGGATGTTCATCCGGGGGAACATCGGGCGGCCATGTGGCCAACGTGACTTTCTCAAATTTGCACCAATGAAAACACGCATTACAATATACTAAATATACATCTAAAACAATTTCAATGATTCGTACAACACACATTATGAAGGGCCGACGTGGGAGTTATGAAGTGCCCACGCGTGTTTTGTTTGACAAAATAACCCCACATAAATCCTGCAGCAGGGCGTTTCTCCAGTGGATTGATTTAGACATGAGCATCAAACACTTGACAAACAATATCCTGTCGTGCGGTGCCTTAGAGCCATGCTACTAGCCATTCTTTGATGCTAGATGGGACTCTTAACTCTCAATGTAACAGAAGTTGAAATATAATTAGTCATTCAGATTTATGCTTGACGGCACACCAAGCAACACCACCTCTTGATGCCACCTTGTCACTGGAGGGCTTGCACCATCTCCACAAGTCGTTCATATCTGTTCCATTCTTTCCATCCCCAGAACGGTGTGTTCCTCCTCTGCCTCGGCAAACAAATCCTCGAATTTGGACACATCCTGGCATGGCTGTTGGCATCGTCGACAACGTCACATGCGCCGTGACAAGCGCAAGCGCGGTCGAAACCCTGCCCAAAGATGAACAACACAGCCCATCTTGCTGAAAAGGCTCTGTATTGGCTGTCTTTGGCCACGGCCGTTTAAAAAACTGCTGGCGTGGCAGTAAGACCGCAAGATCTTCTTTCCATTCTGTGGACACTTCAAGGCTCTGTGGAACCCCCATCGTTCGATCTTTCTTCGTTGGTCGACACCTCCTCAGTGCGTGATCTCGGAGCGTTCCTGGGGTCGGTGCGTGGTCGAACGGTGCGTGGAGAGGACCCACCTTCAAAACAATTCCCGACCATCCCGTTTGCTTTGGCCGAAAGGAACACACTAGTAGGTGGCGAGGCCATCTCTATTAGAAACCAAGAAAAGATAAATTGAAGATTATGGTCTAATATGATCTAATATGGTTTGCTATTAGGTGACTCCGATTCAGCAGATCCACTGACTTACAAGACTCTTAGCGCAGCGCCGCAGTCATACAGTGGTGTCGAGACTCGCTTCTCCCGTCTTCACGTTGGTGCCCAAGGGAACTTCCACCAGTTTGAAGCCAGTCAGCTGGCCCCAATGCCTCAGCAAATGCAAGTCTTCAAGGAATCACCGTTTCAAGATGAGTGTCCTGGTGGTTTCTGGGAAAATGGATGAAACGTGGCCTTCCACGTTCTTTTCTTCATGCGCACATGAAAGAAGCCTCTTCGCTGGACGGAACGACACGAACGACACGTTTGACGGGTGTCACATCAAGTGCTCGTCCCTTTTCATGGGATGAAGCAGGAAGCAATGGGAAGCTGTGGAGAGTGTTGCCGCAAAAGAGACTCTCCCAAATGGATTGCCGTGAAGAGTGGGAGTTTTCGATCCACACAGAACAGCATCTCCATACCAGAGCTGGATGACCTCCCTTCCTGCACATGTCTAAAGTTTAAAGGGTGAAGTATCAAAAAAATCTTTACCGCATCAAAAAACTATTATTTGAGGGAATGAATTAAAAACTACTATTATTCGAGGGAATCAATTAAACACTAATTACTTAATCAAAAAGAACTATTCTGCCACGAGCTCTCTGGGATAGAGCGGGTTTCTTATTAGTACCTAATTACAGCAATTTCGTGTCCTTAGCAGAGACACAGGTGTCGTAGCTGGCCCAATACATTAGAATAGTGCAGGTTTCATATTAGTTGCTAGTTGATTAGACTAATTCGGGAGCTGTCGTAGCTGGCAAAATACATTGGAATAGTGTAGGTGTGAGAGAAATTCCTACCTATCACAATAGTTTGGTGTAGTTGGCAGAGAAACAGCAAAGAGAAAGAGAACTAGCGCAGGAGGCGTATTTGGTTGGTTAGAAGTTTTTGCACCGGGGAGTTCACCTTAAAATATT